TATTTTCCAGCTCAGAAATTGCTTCATTTATTCTCACATATTCTAGTCAAGTTTGGAAAGTTTCAGAAACAGCATTCACACATTGAGATGAGACCGAAAGTGAAGCTGATGTCACTGTCAGGTGGGTTAGCAGGATGAGGAAGGTTATATGACTATACAGGTGTTAGTACAGGTGTACAGGTGTTATAGAGGTACCAGCATTGAATCACATCCTCACTTCCATATCACAGTGGGGAACATGAAAAAGCAATTTACACTATTTACAGAATCATGTCATTAAAACGACCAGCAATTATTTCCTTCTGAGGAAATCACCGCTTACATGGGAAATAATGCAAATATCAGGCTATATTTGGCTTTATGATTGACAATTCAATCCAACATTATAAAATTCACTGGTTTTGATAAAAGATTAATGTTTTTTTTTTTTTATTACAGCTCTGATATAAACTACAAAGGCTTAGTCATGGTTTAGATAAATATTGCTGCTACTGTTGCCAACCAAATTCTGTATCCATGTCCTTGTTTCCAAATCATAGCCTGCATAAAGCTGTACCATGGGTCTAATAAAGTTAACAAGCTGTCAATGACACCATAATTTTTTCCTCAAAGTCAGATAGACAGGCAGACGGCTGTGCCACTAACTGTAGCCCACTGGTTAAAGTGGTGGCCTATTGATTGTCCATTGTGTGTAAAGCCTTTGCTGAAGCAGCATCCATTTGCAATGGAAGCAAATGAAATAATATTCTGTGTACTTGCAATGTATAACTGCTAATATCTGAAGGCCTGCAAGCTTAGGTGTGTGTGTGTGTGTGTGTGTGTGTGTGTGTGTGTTTTCCCACAGGATTTGCATGTTCAGAAGTCACACAACTGGCACTCCATACTTCAAAGAGGAAGCTAATAGTATGAATCAGATGAAATTGAGGTGATATTGTGAACTGCAGGTGCTCTGCTTTAAAACAAATAATAACCTAACAAGGTATTCCCCCCCCCCCCCCCCCCCCCCTCTTATTCTATGCTACTGCAGCACATGAAATGTCCCCATGTCTGTCTATCTCCAGAAAAGAACCCATCCAATAAAAACTCACAAAGAAAGCAATGACAAAACATGATTAGGTCCAAACAAAGAGAAAAAAAAGGGGCTATAAAAGAACATCAACCTAACTCTGAAGCATTGACCTTTAAATTGAGTCTCAGTGTGACAAAAATGATTAAAAATGAAATAATAAATGACAAGGGGTAACGTCTGTTTTAGTCGGCTAGTGTGCGCTATTGGTTAAATTAGGATTAGCCGCAGCCGTGCCTCTCACATACTAATCTCTCTACTCTTTTTTTTATTTTTATAAAATGCTGCAACATGCAAACGTCAGTTTAGCACGAGACAACGTGGTGCCAAATGCACAAGTCTCAAATGTAAAAAAAAACAAGAGGCACCAACTGAGGCTAGTTTGGGTTAAATTCCCACGAAGGCTTCAGCTCCTGTAGTAAGCCTTAAGTAACGTTAGCCTTGATTATCTCTGCTGATAGCCGGTTTAGCGGGATGTATCCACACATAACACAACAAGCTGAATGGCAACAGTTGCACACAGAAACACTGCTCGGTTAACGTTACTCTGCAAATATGGTGAATGCTGTAATGTTAAATTGTAGCAACCGAGCTGAAGTCTCCACTTTCACGTACAGATTCCATTAATGATCAGACAAATGAGAACAATCATAAATTATTTCTGACCTGTTGCGTCCTTTCAGCCGGATTCATCATCACAGCCTGCCGAAAGCTGTTATCCACATAAGACGCCATTGTTTTGAAAGACGCCGTCTGGAGGATACTGAATTTCTTATCCTAATAAAATGTTTATTAATATCCAGCGCCCCACGGATAGAAACAAAAGAAGTCCCCCTGCTGTCTTGCTTTATTCTTGTCGCCTGTGCTCCGATTCTAGCGGATAAGCTGGGAGTGCCCGGAGCCAGGCCACGACTGAAGCCAGACAGCCGAGCAGTCTCCTCGGAGTGTCTGTCTTTCTTTGCCCGAGCCGAAACCGGCTGCCAGCAGCAGTCCCACCGAAGAAGAAACTTCTTTTAAAAGCGCGGCTCAAACTGTCTCTTAAGAGTTATTTTCTTCACGTAAAAATGCCCCATTACTCAAGGCAACGTTCATCAAAGCCATTCCTTGTCTCTTCAGCATTCTGCTAGCGACGAAAAGAAATCCCATGTATGTTCCACAAAACAAAAAGGTAAGCAAAGGGCGAACAGTTATCCTGTCAACAACAACCTGGCGTCCATTATGAGAGGTACACCCGAGTACACTCACTGAGAAAATGCATTATATTAACATTTTTAATGGGACTAAAAGTGACGATAGGACCGCCGCCGCTGCGCTCTGTTGTATGCCACCATGGTGACTGACTGACACAGCAGAGGAAAGCCAGCCACAGCAAACACTTGCACTTCCTTCAAAGGTTTTCAAAATAAACCTCCAGAGAGAGCAACGTGTTTCACGTTAAAACAAAGAGACAATAAAGGAAACTGGATATATTCAGGGAGGGGTCTGCCTGCGGTAAATTATATCTACATCTTGTGCCCCCCCCCAAAAAAAAAACAAATGTCATTTTCTCTGCATGTAAGTATACGCTAAAAATAAAAATCTATATGCAAAATGTCATTCCATATGCAGGTATATTAAATAACAGAAAATATTCATATGATATACAAGTTGAATTTTACTGTCCATTACCTTGAAAAGACAAATTAAATCCAAGGACGAATGAAAATCACACATTAGACTAACGTAAGCGTACATGACAAAAATGAACTGTATACGGTCTACCACGCACGATGATCGGTTTTGGTTTATATCGATACGCTGTGTGTTTTTAAATTCAGTCGCAGTTGCTAAAATGTTACTAATTTTGGTTGCAATTATGCCTGTTTCGTGGGAGCAATTTTATTGTCTTATGTTGGAGCCAAAATCGTTGCATTTCCTGTCTAACTGTTGTTATCTGTGTTTGACTTGATGGAGATTTAGTCACAAGAGGCGGCTCATGGGCGAGTCCATTTAACAAAAAAAAGTGGGACTAGGGAGGGGGTGCAATGTGGCAAAGTGATGCTTTGGGGCCACCTAGTGACGCAATAAGGTAATACATATTTAGGCTAGATGGGTTAGGTTTATACTAAAACGCAGGATGTGATTACCGGTATTAGAAAAACCTAGTTATCTTCAGTGGTGGAAGAACTCGGATCTTTTACTTAGGTAAAAGTACTTATTCCAAGTAAAAATGCATTCAAAATCTTATTGAAGTAGAAGTATTGGTATCAGAATACACCTGATAGTAGCCTTCCAAAAATAAAAGTACTCATTATGCAGGATAGCCCATTTCAGAATAATGTAGGCTTCAAATCAAATTGTAATTATTGATGAATTAATGTGTAACCATCCTTAATGTTGCAGCTGGTAAAGGTAGGGCTATTTTCAGCTACTTAATGTACTACCAGGTAGCTTAATACATAATAATACATCTTAATTTATTAGTTGATTTAAATTTTGTATTAATAATCAGAATCTGTAAAGTAACTAATATTGTCAAATAAATATAGGCCTAGTGGAGTAAATAAACAAGAATATTAGAGGTATAAAGTAACATACAAAGGAAATACTCAGTCGTTTTAATAAAGGATTCATCATTTCTTTGTCTTTGTTTCCATAACCATATTGACATCAGTCACTTGTACAAATCATAGCCTGCATAAAGCTCTCAAGACCATGGGCCTAATACAGTTAACAAGCCGTCAATGACACCATAATTGTTTCCTCAATGTCAGATAGGGCAGACGGCTGTGCCAGTGACTGTAGCCCACTGGTTAAAGTGGTGGCCTATTGATTGTCCATTGTGTGTAAAGCCTTTGCTGAAGCAGCATCCTCACAGACAAAATGGATTTATTCTGTGTATTGACAAAGCATAACTGCTTTTTAAAGAATTGCTAAATATAAATTAATTACGTGCCACAGACACACTTCAGATTAAAGAATTAGCCTTTTCAGTGCAGTTCCCCATAGATGCACAGTTCTGACAGACCTTCTTTTTTTTTTTCAAAAAGCCACTCCATATCCATTTATTTTGGGCTGCAATAATCACTATAAAACTCCACAAGATCCTTCAGGGATTGAGTTATACACCCAGTGTCCACACAGGGTGTTAAAATGTAAGATAAGATCATTTAAGAGTAGCACAGAGACAGGCTGGGAGGTAAGAAAAAAATAAGACAAAGAAAGAGATCAGACATTTAAAAATCAGAGAAGGAGAGTTGACATAAAGAAGCTACACACAATATATACATTACAATACCTTAGACTATACGAGTGAATTATGCTAATGTGTGTAAAGAAGTCTTGTAATCCAACTCCGGCAGCCATTATGGTGAACCTTGTATATACTATTAGTTTATAGGTATGAATAATACCTATATACTTAGCATATACAATATACAAAATAATACAATGGTATGAATGTTATGCTGTTGAATACTCAAAATACATCTGGACATATTCAATGTGTATATATGCAACGGTTGTATCCTCTGATATACCAAAGGTAAAGAGTTACGTAAACAAACCACAGTAAAGTTTAAGAGATGTGTTATAAACCACAAACAGTTATTGACAAGTGCACGTCAGGGATTTGATCCCAGGACCTCTCACACCCAAAGCGAGAATCATATCCCTAAACCAACAAGCCACAAATCCTCTCTCTGTTTCAAAGAAAGACTCAGATTTCATCACAGTAGGAATAGCTTTGAATATATAAAGCAATGAGAAGTGCTGCTTTTGCTGGATAGTAGAATGTAACACTATTATTATTTTATGGCATTTCTTCCTTCATGTTAATTTATTTCATTAAGTTATCTGGGGTAAATTTAGTTTAAAAGTAATGTGTATTGTAGCAGTGTAGACATGCTTCAATAGCAGCATCCCTTGTTTTTACAATGTAACTAGGACACAACCGCTGACACCATGACAACCAGTGGTTGCATGACAATCAACCATGACCCCGTGGACAGAGCAGACTGCTGGGCTCAAGTTATCACCCAAGGGTTGCCATTATATATCTGTATCTAGCCTGCAAATAATCCAAACATAACAGTGGAAAAAGTAATGCAAAGAAGTGAAGCAGCTGAAGGAAAACCACAGCATGGACAAAGGATGATTTTTACAGGTAGGAGAAGCATGGAGAAATATTATTTTATTGTGCAAAAAATGCAATAGTAAAATTGTTAGTGTGAATTAGTAGGAAAGTATGTATTGTCAGACTGCTACAAGCCATTTTCTTGTGAAATTATGCTAAGTGTGTAACAATTATACGATGTCCGAGCATATGTTCTGTGTCCATGGAAATGTAACTGTAATTGGACACATGATGGCACTGTAACCTGGGCCAAAAGTTAGTTGTCATGTTGACTGTGTGCTTGTGTGGTTTGGGTAATTGTGCAGTACATTATCTTGCATGCATTAGGGCATGTCAATGACACTGCGATAATTCATGCATAAGACAATTTACAGCATGACGTGCAAACATATTGTCTAATTTGTGTTATTGTCTATCTCTGTATGAAATCATCACCCAATATTTAATGATTAAAAATGTTTCCTTTACACGAGTGCTATTACTCTGAATAAACACTGAAAAGGAACATCAATTAGGCATTAGACAATTAGCTTTAACAAATCACCCTGAGCTAAATGCTGAATGGATGCACTCTTTTTTGACTGAAACTAACTGAAACAATCTGTTTCTCTTTCCCCCATTTTGTGCTTCTCATTGTCATTTAGTTCACATTTTCCTTACTCTACAATGAATTAATCAGTGTATTTCTTTCTTTATTTTTTATTTGTGTCTGTAGAATCTAATTTGTGAGTAAATGATTCAGGATCATTTGGCTCTTTTACCTTCTTTTCTCACATGCCCACTGATTCTAACAAGGCCCAGATGGAATTGGAGACTACAGGCCAAGATCAAATTATTTCCCCCGGTACATCGGTGTGGGCGCCTCATCACCTGAGGCCACAGGTGACCTCAGTTACTTGTGCCGAGCTGCACCACATGCCCCGCCTCCCATGCCTAAGCAGAGCTATGTGGGGGAGGTTGGCTGGGGCTGGCAGTATAATCAGCTGTTGAACAGCGGGACGCTGCACAGCAATATGCAAATTAAGGTACAGCTAAAATCCACCATGTCCATCTTGTGAGTATGTAGAAGTATCATCCTTCACAAAGTTACACTGAGCATGACTTTGAGAAGTAGTTGGATATGATGGCCAAGAATTCTATCAATGTTGGGGCAAACAGTTGCACAGCAGTAATGAATGGACCCTTAAGCAGATATGGACCAGCTTCTGTAATTTTTGTTCATCTTATAATTAAAATATTTTGTTGAGTAAACATACTTCACATGTATAAAATATGTGTTGGTCATCAATACATATTTATTTTTGATGCTGTTGATTATAAAAAAGTCACACATTCTTAACAAGGAATGTGCATTTTCACTTTCCTCTTCAGGTCAACTGGAGTTACACAAATATGTTGTGGTGGTTTAATTTGAAAGAGCATTCCAGGGATAAATTAAGCTGAACTTAGTCCTTCTTTTTATTCAAACAGAAAACTGAGTTACGGACAGCTTTGGAAGACAGAGTGACTCAAAGGTTCCAGAGTGAACAGTAAGACAGCATTTGTGTTTATACCTCACATTGGACATGTTGAATGTATTTTGTTTCCATCCGTCAGAATCATATTACGTGTGTGTGCTGTGTCAAATGGATAAGTAAGAACATCTCAGGTTTGCTCAGTATTGAGTGACTCCATTGTTGGTTATCTGCTTCCCCATTTATAATGCAACACTTCCACTTTTGGACGAACACACACAACCTCAAACAGTAGATAAGAAACCATCCAGACAGACCTGGACACAGTCAACAACCACTGACACACTGATAATACTGACCTAAATAACCACTCTGGAAGGTTTATCTTATTAACAATTTTCCTAAATAAAACCTACAATCAACTACATTAACTCTCTAAACAAGATGTGACAGTAAACATGAGATTAACATTTCCCCCTTTATATTTAATTAAAGAACACTTTAATCTTGATTCACTAGAAAATGAATGGGAGGTGGTGGCTCTGTTTAGTTTTGTCTGTCCGCTGTGACTTTACCTTTAGAAAAACTAGAGCTGATCCTGACAAGCTTTCACATGTCCTAAAAAGGCCCTTGATGCAAGGGCTGCACTTGCCAGAATTTGAGAAATAATGAGGTTAAGTCCAAAGGTTTTTGATTATCCATTAATCCATTTATTTGAACTTATTTTGTTTTTTTGCTGTAGACAGTGAATTTTTAAGACATTCAATCTGAAATATAATGCATTTTCTGCTTTAAAAACCCGACGGGAACATTGTGTCTAACTCTAGAATGTAAACCCCTCTTTATGTCATTACTACCCAAATCCCAGAGATATTATCAGGTGCATGCCCTTTGAATAGAGACTTGAATAATCTATTCTAAGGTGCATTGAAGCTATTCTGTTAAACTTAATAAGACATTTAATGGTGTTTTTTCCTTCAATTTGTCACCCATGTGTATGTTTCCCCATTTTTCATTTATTCAGTAATTTTGTTTTCTGGTCTATAATGAGTATCACAGCACCATGGGGCCACTATAGACTGTGATATTATTGTTGTTGCAGGGACAGTGCACATTAAACTATGTCACTGTCTCTGTATAAGCCAAGCAGACAGTTGTTCGTGAGAGAACTTGTACGACTAAACCAAGAAAACCAGAAAGAAATCCACAAAATACAATATAGAAAGTACAAAATGGTAAAGCACACAAAGAAGCATGCAAGACAGAAAACCTAGACGGTGATGCCAGCAGTGAAACAACAGAACACATTGAGACAAACTTAAACTGGGGAAACACACGGTGTGAAAAGCCATAGCCATGCAGAGACAAGCACACAGAGGCTCGGTAGGATTACATTTCTGGCTACATTCGAGCCAGGTTTAATGAGATTGACAAGACTGAAGAAGGAACTCTCTTTATGCAATGAAAGGATGTTCTAAGAAACAGTACTATGTGAGTGTGAATTTGTTATTACAGTTTTAAAGTGGGCACAATTGGTGAACTGGTTTTGTTTTATATACAGTCTATGGTTTGTTATTAGGCCCACAATCCCTAAGAAGTGTTCAATGAGCAGTTTCCTGGAATCAACCAATTCTATACCCATTCAGTCAGCTCACACAATACAATAGCGCGTAACAAAGACATTCTTTAAGGAAGCAGGCACCGGACTTCCATGGGTAGAAAACATTTGTTCTTTATGTAGAAAAATGTTTCAAAAAGTATGTATTGGAGAGTTTTAATAAACCCAATAACTATTATACTATTTTTTTTTAAAGCAGACAAGCAATAACAAGAGATAATGCAAAGGTAACATGTGTTAGGAAATACTAGTAATGTAAGGGTCAGAGAGAGATTTGGTCTGATGAATAGAATATGAATAGGTAGAAAATCTACTTTCAAGGAGAATTTGCTGATGTCTCACATGATATGCAAACACAGCAAGTAATGCAAAGTGCAGAACACAGCAGATCACACTCATTGATTCAAAGCAGCCAGCCCCAGCTTAAGCATCTACTAATCCCTCCTATGAAGGAGCCCTTCTGCAAAGGAGCAACAGGCATCACAGTTTTGTAGATAGTTGTGTAAGGATGCATTATCAACAGCATGTGGGTTGCTTCACTAATGCATCTGAAAGTATGCCGTGGCACAAACTGATGTTATTCTGCCAACAACAACCTACCCCAGGCAAATATTGGTCAGAACTTACAAACATAGTCAGAATAATGTTTTTGTAAGGCTGGCATTCTGGGAAGTAGCAGCAATCCCCTTCTGTGTTGACACAGATCCATCAGCTGGGTCACAGATAATAGAGGAAACTCTGCAAGTAACATTCACTACATTCCCAGGCTCTCAAGCCTCCCAGCCATTACATGTACTGTACAGTAAATAAGTAAAAAATGTTATTTGTTCATTTGATAATCTGTACGGGACGGGGTCAGAGTTGTTGCACGCCACTGACTGAAATGTGCTCAAGAAGGCCTAAATAGCCATGAAATCACAAAAATCTCTAGCATCCTACTCCAACATTAATCTTCATTGTCCTTACAAATATATTTCAATGTGAGAATTATTCTTATTAAAGGATGGAATTTTAAAAATGTCTCAGTAGCCACTGATTGCTGCCTATTTGTTTCCTCCCAGAAAGAATATGACGAATGACTCACTCCAAGTCAACACCAAGTTTCACAGAGACAGTCAGAGCTAACAGCAGATGGCATTCTACTACCCACGGCGGCAGGAGGACCTGACTGTTAATGAGATGTGTCATGTGTGATTAAACATCTTTTTATCCCTGTAACTTGTTGACTTTTCAACAGTTTCATCACTTTTTCACACCCTTCAGCCTGAATGATTCAGGAGATATTCACCCATTTTCTTTTTTCATGTCAGCTTGAATCAGGTCAGATTCATATTATTTTCTTGCACAATTCTACATACATTTGAAAGTTTCTGGCAAGTTTATGAATATGAACTGGGCAAACAAGGGTTGAACTCTTTGTCAAAGTTTTCACAGTCTCCTCGAAGCAGTGTGACATGGCACTGATTCCTCAAACTGATTCCCTCCAAAAATAACAGCGACAACCAAGTTGGTGTTGTTTATCAGAGGTCCTCCTCCCTTCTCACAAGGTCACAGATAAAGACTTTTGATTCCTGCATGAGAAGCAACTGGTAATCCATCCCCACGGCTGTAGCAATCATATCCACTTATGTCTGGAGTAGATAACTGTACACATTGTTTACCACAAGAGAAACCACCACTTTTCGAGCCACAGAGACATCCATATCTCGAGTTCAGCTGCAATTTGCTGGTAATACCATCACTACAATAGGCTGGCCTCAATTTGACACCCACCTGAAATCATGTTATGATTGAACTGAGTTGCGAAAGAACATTGTATGCATTTAGAAGACAGTCTGGGCGCTTACTACATGCAGTCAGAGTGAAGGGAAGAGTCAAAAGCTTCATAAATCCGCAGTGGATCCATTGCGATTGCAGTTAGTTCAGGGATCTTTGAATCCCCAGTTAAGAAAAGATTAATCAGTATTTCCTTATAGGTCTAATTCAGTGGTTCTAAACCTTTTTGGTTTGTGGCTCCGAAAACAAAGCAATGTCCACTTGTGGTAGAATTATCCAGTATTTATAAATTTAAAAAAGCAACAATTAGAGGAAAGCCTTAAGGAAGACATACCTTTGTGCAAGCTTAACATTCTTTTACCCTCCAGCTACACAAAGGAAGCATTACAACATCAGAATCAGAAATGCTTTATTGGTCCCAAAGGGGATATTGTTTTGATACAGTTGCTCACGTTGCTTAATAAGGCATTAAAGAAAATATAAATAATAATAAAAAAAAACATTGGTAAGTAGATAGACTCACAACGTCACAATGTGTTCTAGCGGATTGTTGAGTCTGCTTGCGTACACTACCATCAACCTGCTGCCCCAGCATTCAAAAGCAAACAGGATAGCACTGGCCACCAAACACTTGTCAAGGACCTCAGCCTCCTCAGAAAATAGAGATGTGCTCTGACCATTCCTGTAGAGGGCATGACTGTTCTTTGCCCTGTCCAGTTAATTGTCAATCTGCACTCCCAGGTACTTGTACAATGCCCACACTGACTCCCTGGATGGAAACTGCTTTACTGGTGCCTTTACCTTCCTTAGATCCACAATCCTTTGTCTTTGTCACGTTGAGTTGCTCATGGTTCTGCTCATGCCAAGTTCCCCAACACAGCCCTGTATTCAGTCTCATCACCCTTGCTAATACATCCAACTACAGAAAACTTCTGAAGCTAACAGGACTCCGTGTGCTCCCAGTGTTGCTGAGTGCTGACCAGTCTGTCCGACACACTGTTACAGAGTTGCAGATGCACATACTGTGGTCTGCCAGTCAGGTAAGTAACCATCCAGGACATGAGGGGCCATCTGCCTTCATCACTGTCAGCTTCTCCCACAGCAGGGGTGGCCCGATGGTGTTGAAGTCAAAATACATGTCCCTCGCAATACACAGCTTGTCCTGGTGGGTGTAGATGCGATTTAGCAGACAAATTATATATATTATATATACTTTTTGGGGGGGGGACAAAATCTTTTCAATTAAGGTATCATTTGAATTGGCCTATCTATAGGCTATAGTCCGTTGCATGAAACATTGACTAGCTTACAGAGCAAGAAATACATCAATGTTACAAGTCATTATTGCATGATATTTATCATATAGAAACGGTATATTGATATTACATAGCTTAACTGAAATAAAGGACTGTATCCATTTAAAAGAAAAGTTGACAACTCGCTTAGTAGGAATTTTATTTTGCATGACTGGAAGTTTCAGTAAAGCACACAATCGCATGCGTACATTTAAAAGGATATTTGGTTTGTTCTTGACCTTTTGGGTTTGAAACTCAAGGATATAACTCACCAGTCATTAATTTCGTTACATCGAAACGCTGAAAAATCCTGCAAAACATTCGCAACAGAGTTGTATTATTTTGAAATGTTTTAACCGGAAGTTATTGAGTTAATTCTTCCTCGTTTCCTCCAGCGGCCCTGCTCTGCTCCAGTACGCCGGCCGGGTTTAGCAAGGTTAGCTGAAACAAGTGTCTTAAATCGCCTTGTTCCTTAAAATGTCTCACCCAACACCGTCTGTCACGCCTTCAAACCCCGAAAACCCCCGTGTCTTCTTCGATGTGGACATTGGTGGAGAAAGAGGTTAGGACATTTTGATTTTAATGTCCGCTAACAGCTTTTTTAAGGGCCAGTTTAACAGATAACTTTAGTCTTGTTAGCTTAGCACGATTCTAGTTTACTCTCGTGACACCTCGATACCGATTCCTTTAGTAACTACCAGGAACGCTATGCCTTACAAATAAGCCAGTGTGTAAAGCACACGACATTAACCTGCTTATGTTTAATGTGAGCTAACCTTAGCTCAGAGTGAGATAAATGTTTATTTAGCGAGCTTGTCGCTCCTCTTGTGAGTGAATGAACCACGTGCGGCTGTGTTGTCTAGTAAGACTTGTAGGCTAAATGTAGCTCTGCTCACCCTTAGCTTCACTGTCATACCATTGTAATCTAGCGTTCAAAGTTGGTAATTGTTAATCACATGTATAGGTCACTTAATATTTGCTCAAGGAGTTTATTTACTTCACTTGCTGCAGCTATGATAACATATAAAAAAGTCACAAAGAAGACATACTAATTTACTGTTTGGCCTATTTGAGTATATTTAGCTATGTCAGGTTATGTGTAATGCTTCCATAATACCTACATTTCCTGCTCCACTTTATTTTAGTAAAAATAAGAATTAAAAAGTAATGTAACAGTAAAGATTTGTTCTATGAAGGAAGCATGTGATAACTTGGTACAGACTATTCTCATATACACTATACTGTAGGTAGTTTAGTCAGTCATTTGTACAGTAACTTCACACTGATTTATTTTTTCCTGCCCATAGCTGGCCGAATAGTTCTGGAGCTGTTTGCTGATATCACCCCTAAAACTGCTGAAAACTTCCGGGCACTCTGCACTGGAGAAAAAGGCACTGGCAAATCGACCGGGAAACCGCTGCACTTCAAAGGATGCCCGTTCCACAGAAGTAAATAGTCTTCACATCTGCATATAATGTGACATTTAAATTTGGAAGCTAACCTTGAAGTTTTAGTACACACACACACACACTTGGAGAATCTGTAGTTACTTGGCTACTGAGCTCCTCTTTAAACACACCCTTCTTTTTAAGGTGTCAGCTCACCGTAATCCGTGACAAATGAAACTATATGCATGGCAAGTTTTATAAGGGGTTAGTGGGGAAATGTTTTGGTGATCTCCCCCTATAATTAAATGCCAAGCATTACCCATTGATTAAATTACTTTAAATTGGTACCACAGAGGGCAGACAATAAGGATTGTGTTGCACATGAACATACACATAAGAGTGTGTTTCTTAAAAATAGATTACGGTAATGGAAAAGTTGGCAGACAGGTAGTCAGCTGCTGAATATTGACATAGTGACAATGCACTTATTCATGCTTTTCAACAGCCATGAGACAGTATAGTTTTAAAAATGCAAAGTTAACTGCCTGGATTTTAATTGGCTAATTGATCCTTTGGTTCTTTGCCTTTTAAATTAGGTACCCCTAAAGCACAATTGACATTCAGTCTGGTTGATCTGGTAATAGTTTGGCTGTGAATTGTTTTTGGCAGTCATCAAGAAGTTCATGATCCAAGGAGGTGACTTCTCCAACCATAATGGCACTGGGGGTGAGAGCATCTATGGGGAGAAGTTTGAGGATGAAAACTTCCACTACCAGGTAAACGACTTAACACACATTTTAAAGAGGTCTACACTGTTGCTCGGTTTCCTCTTCCACCATGTTATGTTTGTAATCACTATTTTAAGCTCTATTAAGCAGACTAAAACATTTTGACTTTAAAAATAAAAGTCAGAATGTTTTACAAATATCAGACAGAATCCAGGTTTAAATTGACAACAGGCCTTAAAAGTGCTTGTTTTTGAAAAACATTGAAATAATCAAACTACATTCTCACTCCTACATGTGCAGTTGTTTTTGTGTTTCTGTGGGCTCATAGTGCCATCTTTTGTCTTTTCCTTCTCCATGAAGCATGACAAACCAGGTCTGCTCAGCATGGCAAACGCTGGGCCAAACACCAACGGCTCGCAGTTCTTCATTACTACTGTCCCCACACCACACTTAGATGGCAAGCATGTCGTCTTTGGACAATTGTTAAAAGGGATGGGAGTCGTTAAAATGCTGGAGTCTGTTGACACTAATGACGACGCCCCTGTAAAGGTAAATGTTTTCAGTTAAAATGTATCTGTAAAGTTTAATTCCAAAATAATGCATTTATAGTAAGAAGTATAATAACAAAAGTAAGTGTTAATGTAGCCCTTACTAATACTGGATTTACCACTATGGTGACGCTTCCAGGTCTTGTGATGTCCTCTTTATTTGATTTTTTCTACCATGTAAAGACCAAAACATCTTTGCATAGTTAACTTTCTGAAATAATCCTAGTGAAGTAGGTACAGGTGGAATCCTGATTATGTTTTAGTGAGGAGTGAAACTGAACTTTGTTTTTATGTATAAAGACAAAATCTCAAATGTCCTTGTTCGTCATTTGAGACAAAACTCTCAAATGTCCTTGTTTTTATGTGATAAGAATATGAAGGGACATACTGTTTTACTACATTATGTTATATACAGCATTGTGACAACTGCACCGTTCCTAAGTATGCTTTGTTTGACGCTGTAACTTGACATGACATACTCAAGGAAAACCATTGAATTTTCTGAGCTAAAATTTATATTTTCCTGTCGAAAAATATCTGCTCATGTCTGCCTTTACAGCCATGTGTCATAGCAGACTGTGGTGAGCACAAGGATGGAGACAGCTGGGGCGTTGCACCAACCGATGGATCAGGGGACACCCACCCAGACTTCCCTGAGGACTCTGACATCGACTTTAAGGATGTAAGTATCCGAGAGGTCTTTGATCTTCAAGGACACGGTGGAATTTGGCAGATAGCATCAGACTGCTCTGCGGGCGCAGTTAAATAGCCACTCTGGATTTTGAGAAAAGTTTTCTTCTCCAATGTCAAATGAGAAGATCAATATCAATTTCAGTAGCAACATCCAAGACGTGTTTAGACATAGTTTAGCAAACACTGGAAGAAGGGTAAAACAATTAGTATGCCAATGCGGGAACTTGTTCCAAAATGAGGGAGGATAAATTATTACAGATATTCTGTGTTTAGTTTTACTTAGAAATAAATGGTTAAATAGTCTGGCTAAATGTTTTGTTTACAGCCTGTCTGATTGTCTGAATAATTGAGTTTCTTGCCTAGTGGACTTTTTAGCAATGTATCTGTGTTCCCAGACCTTAGCAGGTACTCTGAGCACAGTGTTATCATCAACATTTTCTTGACTTTATCTTATCTTTATTTTTCATGGCAGCAGTCACCATAAAGGAAATGGAATTTAAGTCCCCGGTATCATTTCCCCCTTTGTTTCCTTTCAGGCTGACAAAGTTCTCTCTGTTGCTGAGGACGTGAAGAATATTGGAAACAGTCTTTTTAAGAATCAAGACTGGAAAGCTGCAGTCAACAAATATAGCAAAGCCCTCAGGTAATATAAATTCTGTGTCACTCATCATCGCTTTGTGTGTGTAGTTCACTTTCAGACACGACTGCGTTTATTTAATAGTAAAAAGACATTCATTAAATGAATGGGTGATAGTTTAAGAAGCATGTTTTCAAAGAAACTATCCAAATGAAATAAATGAACAGGTCATCCACATACATTGAAAAAATATTACACCCAGTATCGCAAATGTATTTTGTTTTTGGCACCACATGATGTCAAGAAGTTTACTATCGGGGCAGTTTATGGAGATTTACTGTTTAAAAATAGCTAAAATAGTGAAAAAATTTAAATGACTAGGGTATCGTAATTATATATTTTCTAGTGGTTAGAAATTCCATGAAAAGACCAAAACCATTTGTCCATCTATTAATGCGTTACGTCATCCCCAGTCTGTATGTGGAATCAGCCCCAACCCCATTTGTTAATACTGACATGACACTTTAGTCACATATGCATAGTTTAAGGGCTGGGTGTGAATTCAGAAAATTGTATTTTCTTTCTCTTATAATCTTTTAGGTACCATCACACAGTGATTTTCCAAAACAGCTGGCCACTGTAGTTTTTAGCAGACATTACACAAATAGAAGGAAAGAGTGCATTTGTTGGGACTATTTTCAGCAAAATGAATGTGTTAGTGTATATAGAGTAGCAGGATGAGGTTTATGTGGGAAAATATACTACTGTGCTAGTTCTGTTAAATGAAGTGTGCCTATTAAAAGGGTAAACTGGAGGAAAAGTGTGCAGAAACCACTTTGTGTCTTTGAGTAAAAGCTCCCACTGCAGTTTCACTTGTGATTCAGATCAATTATTGCTCATCAGGATCCAATTCCTTTAACTGACAACGAGCCTGATTTTTATTTTTTTTTTGTCTTCTGCCAGGTATTTGGAGGTGAGTAGAGAGCACCTGGAGGAGGAGGTGCAGCAGAAGCTGGAGCCCACAGCCCTCAGCTGCTTCCTAAACACAGCAGCATGTCAGCTGAAGATGCAGCTGTGGCAGGATGCTCTAGACAGCTGCAATGAGGTAAATCTGGCAATACTCATGCTAAGAATTTAAACTCCGGCTATTATTTTCATTATGACGGATTGTTTTGTTTTCTTTTTGGGGGGCTAAAATATTTTAACAAGTTGTTCAAAATGTAGTTATGCTTTATTGCTGAGATTATTACATGAGAAGAGCATTACCTCATGTCTGTATGGTAAAAATGAAGCTACCTCCAGCAGCCACTTAGCTTACCTTAGTCTTATTTGTTTAGTCAGTACAAAAAACTGTGAGAACTAAGCATGGTTTTACGAGGGGTTTATGTGTCAGACCATTTATTGGACGGGAGCAGTGACTTCCTGGAGTCACTGTGAGGTTGCAGGGCAACCATTAGAGATTAAAGCAAACAAGTGAATTACCCCAAATTTCAAAGTATTTGTTTAAGTTATTGGTAGTATACAATATATTTTGTACTTGCATTCAGTATGTAAGTGGATCTCTTTATTTCTGGCAGAATAAAGTCAGCTTCCCAGAAATATGTGCTAATGCACTTGAATAAGGTTCTGGCTGGACCCAATATACCTAATCAGTGGTAGGGGGAATATAATGGGCTCTTGAAAAAGAATAAATGCAAAATAATATTGACAAATTTCATAAAACATTCAAGAAGGATAGAATTTAATTTCTGGTGTGTATTTGTGTTGCGTCTTACAGGCTGTAGAGCTGAACGAAGCGAACACTAAGGCACTTTTCCGGAGGGCCCAGGCATGGCAGGGGTTAAAGGAATACAGCAAAGCCATGGTAACATCCACACAAGCACCCTTCTCTTTTAAGTGGCTGTTTAAATATCAAAGATTGACAGCTTTTTGTATGAGATACTCTGCAACACAACAGTTCAAAATGTACGTGTGTTATTTTCTGCATATTTTCTGGTTTTATACAGCATTAGCAGCACAGGTCTCTCCTGTGGACTAAATAGTTGAAGTTGATGAAGGAGAAATAGAAATTTTGTATTGTAGTTAAGCATTTGGCAGATGGTTACATGTCCTAGTTTATACAAGAAAGAATCCAGGTGCATTAATTTTGAAGATATTCAGTATTTGGTGCAGTCTCAGGGCACGTTGACTTACCTAATTGTTTTCTGCACCTGTCATCTTTCAGATTGATCTGAAGAAAGCTCAGGAAATAACTCCAGAAGATAAAGGTGGGGAATTGTCTTCTAGCATTTTCTGTTTGCTCAGCTTTCACCCAGGCCAAGAATATTTTCCTTCTTCACCCCCATTTGCACATTTAGTTTTATTTATTAACATTTCATGCATATTCAAATGCATTATTCAAATTTAGCATCCAAGCTCATGAACAATAGTCCACGACTGAAGGAAAAGTTTATTGTTCCTCCTAATTGAACTTTATGGGGAGAAATTCTGGGTTATTCATGAAAGGTCATTTGCAGGACAATAATGAATCAATCCATTCATGACTCTCTCACTTGGTTACTAGGGTTTCGTTACAGGAAGTGTAGTCAAAGTGCATATTCTGCAACCTGACCTTAACATTAATTTGTCACTGCATGGTACATACAACGAAATTCAGGTGCACTACCTGAAACGATGCTCAAAATGAAAAACAAAACCACACATCTAATATTCGCACGCACGCAAACAATTGTCAACATACTCAGTGAAAAAAATATATAGTCTTAAAAGTATGTACTGTACAGGTACAAATCAGGAGTATGGTGGTAATTTCCTATTCAGTTACATGAACTATTGCATGAACTATAACTTTGAATACTATTTATCAATAAATGGTAAGTCTTGAAGGTATTTATTGCCAGTTCTTAATAGGATGTTGGTCATGAATGAAACAGGTGCTGTAGTTTTACTTATTTTCAGTGTTGGTGAAATGCTCTTTAGAAAAGACTGCAGTTCACTATCCCGCTATTTTATTGACATAACCTGTGTTCAGGATGAGCAGCGTGCAACCAAAACATCACCATGTACGCCAAATGATCAAGGACCATTTTAAGAAAATAGGACTGTAGCCAACTTTAGCACTGTACCAGCTTAACACACAACGCTGCTGTACTGCTAAAACTCCCTCAGCTACCAGTGGCTGAAATCTGATGTTACTGACTAAAAAGGATATTATGGTTTAAAAACGCACACCCTATCTAGCTACTTTAAGCGTGACTCATGAGCACATTATTCACAGCCAAGTGCTTTCTAGTGCCTAATGTATTTTAGCATACAAAGTGGCTAATGAATACTTTCAGTCTGATCAAAGTACATACTGGGACATCCTTCCTAAACAAGCAGTTGCCATTAGCAAATATAAACCATCCTTAATAAAGAGCAGTGTAAAAGCGCCTACGGACCTGAATTATTAATGACGATGAGAGCACTGGTGTTATGTGGTAATGTTAAGTATTATCACACTGTATGTTGTCATGACAAACCGATTGGATGTTTAGGGATACAATTTGGAAGTACTACACCCCTTAGTATGTACAAGTCAGAGTGTACTGAGTGGGATCAGGCTCTATGCAAATCTGGAGCTCCTCTCTGCTTTTTGACAGTGATGCACTGCTCTTTTGATATTTTAAGCTGCGGTTTATTGGCTGCAGGCTCGGAGATAAGAGCTATCAGTGCGCTTCATGCTCTCCCTGTGCCTTCAGGAGCAGGCAGTCTTTAAAGTAAAATTGACAGTGTGCAGAAAGTGGACACTTGTGCACCAGAAACAATGTTTGAAATTTCAGTATTGAAGGCGAAAAAGTATCCAGTACAAATATATTAATTGAGTAACATGTTAAGCTAATTTTCTGTTTTTTATTTGACAGCTATCAGCAACGAGATGAAGAGAGTCCAGCTTAAAATCCAGGAGGAGAAGGAGAAAGAGAAGAAAATCTATGCCAAAATGTTTGCATAAACATTTCACCAAATGATGCAATGAATTCTTTAACATAATCATAAGTCCTCTCTATATGGTAAGCTGCACTTATTCAGATAAGAAGTCTGCCACCAGGTGAAAATGTTCAGTATCTTTATTTGCCGTGTCCTTTTCTGTTTTCCAGCGAGCACATTTTCCACGGTCTGTATTCCTACAAGGGAAAATAACTGTTGTAAGCGTTGACCTGTCTTAATTCTGACAAGTGACTTCACTGTACTGAATAGTTTAAGTGTTAGTCTGATGCATGGCTGACTCCACTGCTGACTCCAAAGACTGGGTTAAAGCTCAACACTAGTCTTTGTTCTGGGGTTTTGAAGTAGTTCAGCAAAGTTGTGTATGTTGTACCGTTTCATGGTAGGGACTTTGATGCAGTTCCCTTGGCCACATAACAGTACATCCATTTGTTTTTATTTATGTTTTACAGAGGTCAATAAAAAAAAGGGACAACAGTCAAGTGTAATTTATTAACTACTGTGAAATCATCTGATGATGTACAATACTGTCAAAATATACCTGCAGTAATGCTGACACATACCTTAATTTAATTATGTTGAAAGAAACTATTACAGTTGGTAAATTATTTTTTAATGCCCATACTGTGGATTTTATGGCAAACTGCAACTTTTGACTTGTACTTCAATGTTGTATGGTCCTGTATTTTGCATTGGTTTCATAACCTCTGTGCAACATGTCAAACTTAATTCCCCACTCTTTAGATTACTAATTCATTTCTACAACAAAATGCAGTTTTATTTTTAATATCCTTGAATTTTTGCAGATTTTTTTAATACCCTCAAAAACAACTATATACTTATTTTAAGATCCATACTTGGGCACATTTGCCATAGGCTGGCACTTACTGTAACCCTCAATGCATGATACTTTACAGTAATCTTTCTTGACAAAAAGTAAAAAATAAAATAAAGGTCACATTCCATTGTAAGCTGGACCACCACCGCCTTCAGGCACAACCCAGTTGATATTTTGGCTTGGATCCTTGATATCACACGTCTTACAGTGGACACAGTTCTGAGCGTTTATCTGCAATCTCATCCCATCTCCAGTTTCCACAGGAACATACTCGTACACACCTGGGAGGTTTGGTGGAGAGAAAAAGTAAAGTAGTTAGAACATTGACACGTGTGAAATATTTTCATTAATTGTTGCAATTCCATTAAATGTTCCACTTTGTGTTCTGATCAGGATTTATTTTTCTAAAAAGATAAAGAACATCAGGATTATAAACCATGCTTTCTGTGAGGTGTTATAGAGAAATAACAGCAATGAAACCTGACAGAAAACCGTTTTATCGTAGTTTAAGTTATTGCCTCAATGCATTCTGTTTTAAAGCTGATATGTCGACCTGACAGTTAATGCCCACTGCAGCAGCAAAGGGTTTACATGAAAAGATAGCGGCGCTCATTATGGGAGGCTTTGGAAAATCCCACTGTCTGAATCAGCCATTGATTTCAAAATTGCAGCTTCACTGGCTGTCTTCTGAACACACATATTTAGATTGATCATAGTTGGTCATTCACAAATTTGTAGCCTAAGTGAATGTGGGTTATATTTGGTCTCAAAACAATAGTCTGAAATTGCCAATGACACTGGCTTGGGGCAGAAGTTGACATTTATTCTTTTTTAATTTTTATTTAAAGATGTTAATTAGTATTGGAAAAGCATTAGTAATAGTACTTCAGTTTCCACTTGCAACAGGTTCTACAGGATCTTGTGGACAAATGTCATGACAAAAGTGATTAAAAAGTAAAAGCCCTTAGATACAAAACACTACCGTGTTATTGTGTGAGACACCACTGCAATCTGGTGGTAATATGCTATATATGTGAATATAAATGGCAGGTTAATAAGGACAGGGTTTGAAAAAAAGTCAACTTATCCTTTAGACTCTAAAGGGTTAGTTATATCCTCCAAAAGAGGATATAACAGCAGTCAGCTGTCACAACAACTGTCCCTTTTTGCCATTTACACATTTCTGGAAAAACTGTTAATCCATGCCAGCCAAGAATGCCGAGCCCATAGCCAATTATAAAAGTTATTAACCTCGCTAACCCAAATCTGCAGTGTGCAGAAAGTTTCTACAGTTGCTGCTGTCCTGCTTTATCCAATCACCCCCACTCTTTTGTAATGGCTCACCTCTGTGGGCCACAAAAGAATGTCTTGCTGCATTTAACATAGCCACGGACCACAGGTCATTATGTTTAAAAGTTTGCAGAGTATTCAAAGTCAGTCAGTTTTTGAGATTGCATATGGAATTTAGCTTTTCAATCACAGCTGCTGCACTGGAAAGGACATTTACAAAACCAATAACCTGAGACTGAAAAGTGAATAAATATGCATGCTCATTGCCTCACAGTATTGATAAAACCCCCAAAAAACAATTGTTGTGGACTTTAAAAATGTTTGTTTCAAAGAAATGCTGTGGCAGTAAGTTTCAGGTGTGTACATTTCTTTATATTTTTCTGGGGACCTTGAGTAAACACATCACTCTAATTCATTGCAACTCATTTCTAAAGCAAATTAATGTTTTTCTCTTTGCAGCATTTAATACTTTTGGAATCAGCGGCTGTTCCAGTTCAGTAATTTCAGAATACAGGGGAGGTATTGCACTGCTTTGTGTTCCTCACTAATTGAATCTGTTCAAACTTTCAGTTACACTGTGCTGAAAATTTGGTTGACAGAAGTACATCAAGAACAAACATTGTGTTTATTCAAAAAACAGAGTGTTTACTCCTTTATTGAAGTTTGGTTGTTTACCAAACATTGTGCCTGAAACTCTGGTCTCCACCTGGGCCATCTATTAATCCCAAAGCACAAGACTTAATGAGACACTCAATAGCCAGCAGTTATGTTTGAAAATCGAAGAGTATAACAACAAACAGACCCAAGAGCCAACAACAGTTTGGAGTGGCACTCATTGTCAACTATTTGTTCTTAACTGTAGTGCTTAAATAAGTGGCCAATCATTAGTGCGGAAAAGTAATTGACAACAATTCTGATTATTGATTAATCACTTAAGTCTCTGATCAAGCAAAAATATGGAACAGTCGCTGGTTCCAGCTTCTCAAATGTGAGGATTTGCTGCTTTTCTCAGTTTTGTACAATAGTAAATCAGTTTGGTTTTGGACTGTTGGTCGCACAGAATAAGCAATATGAAGATTTGACGTGGAGCTCTGGGAAATTGTGCTCAGTATTTTGTTTAGGAGCTCAAATGATTCATTAAAAAAACAATTGACCATGAAAATCCTTCAACTTTTAAATCCTATTTAACAGGTATGAACACGACAGGGATTAGATTAGATTTAGGGCAGCAGCTACAGCAACAGTCCAAAAGATATGATTTAACCCTGCTGAAATCGTGACATATACTACCTGTGAATGTATGTGACCCATGTTTTCAAGTCCCAATTCCATTGGAATTTACATATTGACGTGAGACTATATGCAATAAAACAGATAACTGACTTCCTCACTACAGCACGTGGAATAGATTAAACATTTTTTGCACCCTGATAGATTGTGTGAATAGCGCTCTTCAGAGGCTATGACGGTATTACCTGCAGGGCAGAAACGTTGCTCAGGCCCATCGTATATGGCCAGGTTCCTGGCGACTGGGACACTGTCATCCTTTAGGGTCAGATGGGGGGGCTGGTCGCCCTCGTGGTTGGTGCCGCTCAGGGCCACAGAGGAGAGCAGGTCAAAGCTTAATTTGCCATCGGGCTTGGGATATTCAATTGGTGTACAATCTTTAGCCGGTTTCAGCTGGTTTGCATCAAGGCCTGAGAAAGGTCGGACACAGATGGTTACAAAATGTTTCTTTTATCTGCTGAGATAAGATGACCTCATTCTTCACCTAAAGAGAAACCACTGGCATTGTGTTGTGCAGCTCATCTACAGCAGCATAACTTACCACACTGAAAAACTATATTGCTCGCTTGTACATATTATATTCTTTATACATTCAGCTATGGTCATGTACAACACTGACTTCTCCTAATTCTTTCTTTGTATACTATGTTAACAACCATGTAGCAGATTTTTACTTAGATGAACAGTGTAAATAAATGAAATCTTGTTATTTCCATTTCACTGCAGCTTATTTCTGCATTACAGTAACCATCAAACATGAGCTTTCTACAGATGGTCTTCCTTTTTTCCTACTGTTAAACTCATCACTTTAGGGAGATCAGTTAAATGCCTAAAAATCTTAACAAATGTTCAACTTAATGCCAAGCTGTACACTGATTCTGCTTCATGATGCTCACCACAGTGTTTGAGTGTCCATGGCTCTTTTCCTCTGAAGATCCAGTAGAAAACTCCAGTGTAGATCATGCCACCGTACAGGCCAAAGTAATTGTGGAAGGACGGCCTGATGTTTCTCACTGCATATAACTCTTTCCACACCCACGAATTCTTCAAGCTCTCAGCATACTCGGGTATATGGAGTCCTGAGAAGATTTAAAAAATCCTTACATTTTTACACATTTGTAGCACAAAGCCTTGTTTAATTCTGAACTTGCTAAACTATCGAAGATTTTGTTGGACTTTTATTTACTCTTATTTGTAACCCACAGAAAACAATCCACAAATGTGTACTATGATGTGAAAATATTTCACTATCTAGAAATATGTATTGCTTTCTGTCAATTTTTGGGTCATGTTACATTTGTAATTTGTGGAATTTTGTCCAATGTGTACTGTGGAGATCTGTAAAAAAATAAAAAATAAATAAAAACAACACACAAATACCTCACTGCCCAAAACATGTATTTTTACATTTGTGTTGTGTAAAATCATATTCATAAAAATACAGTGCAATTTGCAAATATGTACAATTTACTCTGTACACACATTTTAATTTCACATACAAAGTGTTATTTACGCATTTGTGGATCTGTTTTTACACAAAATAGATTTTGCACATTTAAAGGATCATTTACATCACATTACATTTATTTACTAAGCTGACGCTTTTATCCAAAGCGACTTACAATTGCTATTCTATGTCAGTGGTCGCACGCCTCTTGAGCAACTAGGGGGTCTCTTGCTCAGGGGGACATTGGTGGGTGTCACAGTGGAGAGTTGAACCCAGGTCTCTCACACCAAAGGCATGTGTCTTATCCACTGCTCCATCACCACCCCACTACATTTCCTGTCAGTTTGCAGGTCACGTTACATTTGTGACTTCCTTTTTATGCATTTGTGGAATTTTGTCCAATCTGTACCAGAAATGAAACTCACAAGCAGAAAATACAGTTTTTCATGCAAAAGCTCAACGGGTAATGGACATTGACTTTACTTTTGAGGGCCGTGACCTTACCAAAGCTTACAATAGCTCCTACAAAGAGTAGGTACAACAGTACATTCAAATGCAGTCAATTTATTTAAATATAAATGTAAAACAAATACAGTCATAAAGTATTCAACAGTAAACTATAGACACTTGTACAGAAAAGTTTAGACGCAGTAGAGTCTAGTGGTCCAGCAGATGCAGAAGCTGTTGTCTCCTACAGATGACCCTGGGAACTGCAGTGGATATTCTTACAACTCATGAGAGGCAATGTCGCCACCTGCTGGTGTAGCTAATAACCTGCTCTCACACTTACAGATCTCTGTTTACAGATCTCTGTGGTACAGATTAGACAAAATTCCACAAATGCGTAAAAAAGGAAGTCACAAATGTAACGTGACATGTAAATTGACAGGAAATAATCTGCAAATTTGTCAATTATTTTGTGTGTAAAAATAGATCCACAAATGTGTAAATAACACTTTGTATGTGAAATTAAAATGTGCGTGTACAGAGTAAATTGTACATATTTAAAAATTGCACTGTATTTTTGTGGATATGAATTTACACAACACAAATGTAAAAGATATTGGTTTGTATTTTTTATTTTATTTTTTTAAACACGTCTCCTCAGTCCTCATTGGACAAAATTCCACAAATGCTTAAAAAGAAAGTTACGAATATAACATGACCCACAGATTTACAGAAGGCAATCTGCAAATGCGCGAAATCTGTTTTGTGTGTAGAATTCACACATCACAACTGTAAAAATACATTTTGTAGACAAGTAGATAGTGAAATATTTGCACACCATAGTACACATTTGTGGATTGTTTTCTGTGGGTTACAAATATTAAAGTCCAATAAAATCTATCATATTAAACCAAGATCTATAATGTATTTCAAAACAAATCCAGAAATGGACGTTAACAATTTCAACTGGAAGAAATAATCTCAAAAAAACCTTTCATAGTCAGGTCTGTGGACCATTTCTTATCAACTAGGTCAATGTTCCTGGTAAAAACACACTGTTTTCAAATGTTATTTTCCTGTGTTTTGAGTGACTCAACACAGCCGATAGTTAGGAGTAATGAAGTATTTTGGGTGAACTACTCCAGACTATGTATTTAAAAAGTAAATTCTTATGTTGTATTGTGCTATAGAGAAATACCAAAAAGTAAATTGGTCACCACAGTGCTACAAAGATTATATTCCATTGACACACAAAGTATTTGTCAATACCAGATACTGTAGATCATGTCCTTACTGGTTAGGTTCAACCTGCTCTTTCTCAGAGCAGCCTCTGTACCGGAAATTTTATCATGATTCTTGTGACTGTTGCCACTGACATTTTGATTGATATTGCAGTTTTTTTTTTTATCAATACACCTTCAAGAACTTGTCTCCTGTGGGTCTCTGTTAAGGTTTCTCAGGTTGTGTTGAAAACTCATAAGAAAGAGAGTTTATTGCCTGACCTTTTATACCTGACAAATGTTTACACCTGGCATTTGACCCGATATGGTCCAGCCTTGTTGCAGTGTGTTTGTTTATGTTACTTTACAGTTTCATTTGTTTCAGGTGTTATTTTGTCTACAACCTGTATAGCACGGTTTCTGACTTTACCCATCATGGACTGGAATGATTTACAAACTGTTGCTACTACAATGATTATTAATAGGTGTTAAATTCTGTACCTGCTGTCTCTGAATCAATGCTGTCTGCTGTGACTTTGGGGAAAATGGCCTCCGCAGCCAGCATGCCACTCTTCATAGCTGTGTGGGTGCCTTTGATCTTTGGGACATTCATGAAACCAGGACTGCAGCCCACCAGCAGCCCTCCAGGGAAAGTCAGCTTTGGGATGGACTGGAGAGGAATAGGAGAGAGTTTGTGCCCATTTTAAAACTTTCTCACGTTCTACTTTCTGAACTTCTAACTGGATTTCAAGAATTTGGTCGCTAGCCAATAGGACACATTCTGACCAAATATGCCATTAGTATGTCCATACATCATCCACAAAGCAATTATCACATGTGAAATCACAAGGCATATTATATAGTTTTAAATTAAAAGCATGTGGTTAGTGTTAATTAGAAACTAGTATTTATTGATTTAATTTCCTCGGCTCGTGAATTAGAAGAAGCAAGGGAGCCTTTATTTATCTCCATTTCTGCCGCTAATCCAAGTCCAGGTCGCAGGGGCGGCCTGTTGAGCAAGGTAACCCAGACACCCTTCTCCTAATCCACGTCCTCCACCTTATCCTGGAGGGGCTCCACGGCCAGGTTCAACATATAATCTCTAAAGCTTGTTTTGGGTCTCTGCAGGGTCTCCTCCCAGTTGGTCATATCTGGAAAACCTCCACAGGGAGGAATCCAGCGGATGCCATACTACCCCAACGGATCTTTCAATGTGAATGAGCAGCGTGTGCTTTTTTTAAATATTTATGTTATTTACAAACACATATTCACATAATACAATTATTTTGTAACAGTGAATACATTATTGTTAAACCAATGAAACTCGTCAGAGGTGTCTTATGTTGCAACAACATCTCGTTACAATAACTTGCTTTCACTTTTAATGTACCATGATGAAACATTTTCAAGTGGCAATGTATCTTTTCCTTCATCTATTTTCTTGTCACTTTTAAAAATAATGGCACTTCATCAGTGTAACGTAAAATCTATTCAGTTTTAAGTGTTCTATATTGCCTGGCTGTGATTGCGTCATTAGTGGAGAACATATCTAATTTAATCGTATTTGTAATCATATTCTAATCTATGACTAATCAGAATGAGATTGCATATCTGACAGATCAAACAATGTTCTCCATCTTTGTGTTACATTTTTTTATATTATTAAAATACATTAATAACTGGGTGAGGAAGCAGAAGAAACAAACACACATTAGAGCAATCAAACTAAACACTTAGAAGGCTCACGGATGCATTTGATGTAACAATAAATAGACAAAACAAACTAACGTATCAATAGTAGTGAAAACCTTCCATAAACTGTTATTCAGCTTATACAACATTGATTTATTTGTTGTGTAAATTAGATTCTCAGTTTAGAATTTTACTGATGGTTTTAATTAAACATGACAGCAGGAATACATTTTACAACAATCTCTGTAGGGAAACTGGCTAGTTTAATGGAGTCTTGTGATTTCCCCAGAAATGCACTCGCACTCATCTTTTGACATTTAGATTAGGTCAGTACTTTGTTTACAGGGATCCTACAAATTATTTCATTTAAAAATTCCACTTTTCTAGTTTCCAGTAATCCTTATGGGCAATTGCGCCCTGTCAAATTATGTCCTCTAAAGTGCTTTTTTGCCACTGACAAGCTCAGACTATTATTAATGTGCGTCTGACAACATTGTGGAAAGGATCCCTACAGACACACTTTTTTTTTTTTTAAACAGTAAGATCCTTTTTGTTTAACCAGAAACAGTCACTATATCGCTCTGTTCAAAACCGCCAGACTCCAAGTGGTTTTTCAAAAAATAAAAAATAAAAAAGGTCTATATCTGTAGGGATACTTTCCATAATATTGTCTAACAATCTGAGCTTGTCAGTGGCAAAAACAAGCAATTTGGTGGATGGACTTTGATGGGGCGCAGTTGCCCGCAAGGATTACTTTGCAGCATGCTCACTCAATACTGGAGTAATTTTAATAAATTTTGTCCCAATTTGTCACACAAACACAAACCTTTCAAACAAACATGGGAAAAATACCAAAGGTACCCTTTTCACATGTATGTTACATTCTGATTATGTATGCCAATATTTTGCCAATTAAGTGCCAGAAGATTGTAGCTAGGTACTGTAGCCACACAAGTAAAGTTTATGGCTGTTGAATTCACTCCCACACAGAGTTGGACAGCGTTCCACTGTCAAACATCTCTAGCCAAAGATGAAGTAAAATAACTGGTGCAACCTATACTCTTATTATTTTACCTTAACATATTTAATAAATAATAATAATATTATTAGGGGTCCAAGCCCGAGTGGGGCTGGGAACTCGCGAATACAAGGCATTGCGGTTCCATTGCGGTAAGCTAATAAATGTTTGCAAAAAATGCTAAAAACAGGATGTGATTGGTGTCAATTGGCCTCTAGGTGGTGCTATTAATCGTATATGAAATAACACTTCCATTGACATACATTCATTTTATATCTCCGTAACTGCAAGTTCCTTTAACTTCAAACTCTGGTCGTTTGAGCCGCCCAGGTCAACTCAGCCTTCGTGGGGCAAGGGCTAGGACCCGGCTTTGTTCCCCTGTCTGTGCAGCCTTGTTTATTTACTGTGTCCAAGGAAGCGACAATGAATGCAGCCAGACAAGGTATGGTTTCCTGATGCAGCAAAAACTTTACTGATGACTACATCACTGCATAACTCATAAAATGTTCAGACAAGCTTAATATTTGGTTATTTGTGATGCAATCCAAAGATATTGATTCTCTCTTTTTTTTTCTCCCACATTTATCCAGACCTGGAAATTACTCAAATCAAATTCCGCACTTTTCCACTCTGCGTAGGAACCTAGTGTTTAATATGATGTAGCAAATAGAGAGTGACATGGGAGTGGTTTCTTTTTTCCCCCTGTCCCATCCCAGTCCCATGATGAATAGTGAATCTGACTCCTAACAAGTTTGATAAACAAGTTTTATGCTAAACAAGTATCCTTATTGATCATGAAAACATGTAATGTAGACATATACCTGTAATCCTCCCTCATTCAGTGCTCTGGCTCCATATGCAATCCTGTGGCCGCCCTCTAGTGTGGGAGCTATAAAGGGATGATGTTTCCAGCGCTGGAACTCCTTGAAGGGGCTCAGGTAAGGGTTGGTGTAGTCTAGACCAATCTGAAGTGGGAAAAAGATTGCAGGTTTAAATATAAGTAAGTATCACAAACCTAGTAGACATATACAAAGTGGAAAGACTAGGTTGTTTTATTATTTTCTACAGCTACTCTGGCTTAGAAACTACTTCAAATCAAATATGTTACCTCAATCTACACAATCTTAAAACTTAAAAATAAAGAATTAGGTATTTCATTTATTTAGACTCTCGGTATTGACACTAATCAAGATTCTATCATCTTTGATGTCTGTAGACATCAAGACAGCAAATTAAAATTAAATGACATCATTTAGAGAGACATTAACCTGTCTTCATATAGCTACCAAAATTCACAGTGCAAATCAGAGAAAACACAAGAACCGATGCCTCTGAGAACTTTGGATCCACCAAGTCTCTTCTGAGTTTGATGTCTGGCCAAATTCATTGACCGGACAACTAAGGCCCTTTTCAGGAAGGTGAAAGCTGCCAGGATGATAGTGGCTCCATGAGGTGTCACTTAATGACTCTGAATGGATTAGTCTAATGACACAAAAAATGTGTTTGGCCTGATTGCAAAGTTAAGTGTCTGGAAAAACCTCATACTGTTCATCACCTGGCTAATATATAATAATAATAATAATATAATAATCTTTATTTGTAGAGCACTTTTCAAAAACAAGTTACAAAGTGCTTTAACAAGTATATAGACAATAATACCCAAAAGACAATAATACAAAAACAATACAAGATAAAAGCAAGAAAACATTGAAAAGACTAAAATACACTTTTAAGATAAATATAAAATAAGTAATATCGAATAAAATAAACAGCGATAAAATAAAGTCAAAAAAGATCAGGAAAGGCTCTCCTATAAAAGTATGTTTTAAGAAGGGACTTAAAAGAGTTCACTGACTCAGCCGACCTGATTTCCTCGGGCAGGCTGTTCCAGAGCCTCGGGGCCCTGACAGCGAACGCTTTGTCCCCTTTAGTTTTCAGTCGAGACTCTGGAACAGACAACAGACCTCTGCCCGAGGATCTCAAGGTACGTGCTGATGTGTATGGGCCAGAAATATAACAAGGCGAGATGCCATGAAGAGCTTTAAAAGTGATCAATAAAACTCAAAAAGTCAATTCTAAAACATACTGGGAGCCAGTATAATGAAGCTAAAATAGGGGTGATGTGGTCATATTTCTTTGTTCTGGTTAAAAGCCTGGCAGCTGAGTTCTGGACAGTCTGGAGTCGATCAGTAGATTTTTGGGTTAAACAAGTGAAAAGGCTGTTGCAATAATCCAGGCGTGATGAGATGAAGGCGTGTAAAATGGTCTCGTGTCCTTAAAAGTTAACATCGAACTTTTAAGAACATCAAATTTTTGCTATATTTCTAAGTTGATAAAAACATGATTGAACTTGAGCTTTGTGGTGTGCTGCTCAAAATTTAAATTACTATCAAACCAAACACCAAGGTTCTTTGCAACAGGCTTAATGTGATTTACTAGGGAACCCGATGACCAGGATTTCTGTTTTGTCTGAGTTCAGCTGGAGGAAATTATTTGACATCCAATTTTTAACGTCATAAAGGCAGTTAAGTGAACTCAGTACTCCAGGGTTTGTGGATCTGACGGGCAAGTACATTTGTGTGTCATCAGCATAAATATGAAAAGAAATACCATATTTATGGATAATATGTCCAAGGGGAAGCAGATACAAGGAAAACAAAATGGGTCCTAAGACCGACCCCTGAGGCACACCATATTTAACTGGACAGAACGAAGAGACATAGTTGTTTACAGACACGCAAAACTTCCTATTTGACAGGTAGGATGAAAACCATTCTAGGGCAGTACCAGAGATCCCCACCCAGTGCCTCAGTCTGTCTAACATGATGTTGTGATCAATGGTGTAAAAAGCACCGCTAAGGTCCAGGAGTACCAGGACTGAGCACATGCCATCATCAGCAGACATTAAAAAGGTCATTGGTGACTTTAAGCAGGGCAGTCTGAGTGCTGTGGTACTTCTTGAAACCACTTTTCAAATAATTTGTTATTTTCCAGCACAGTGAGCAGCTGTTTGGACACAATTCTTTCTAGAATCTTTGCAATAAAAGGCAGTTTTGAAATTGGTCTAACATTTTGTGGGAGGGAGGGATCTAAACCAGGTTTCTTTAAAAGTGGGTTCAGGCAAGCCGTTTTAAAATAATCAGGGACACAACCAGTAGATAGGGAGCTGTTGGGGCCCAACAGAATCCATTACTTTCAGTAGAAACTTTGTAGTTATTACATCAATATCAATAATATATGTTTGGTAAAATAGTGGTAGCAGCATTGCATTATGGGGATGCTTTTAAGTGGCAGGAATTGGGAGAATGGTCAGGATAGAACTTAGCACTTAGCACATAGCACTTCCCTTCCAGTGGACCACCCCAGGACCTTATTTCAGAAAAAATATGTACAGTAATCTATGGCAAGAGGCAACAACTGTTTTCAACCCATTCAAATTGTACCCCGAATTACACATATGTCTGTCAACTTAAAATATAATCATGCAAGTCAAGAAAGTCACAGTTTGGCGTAGAACTGTGGAAGTATAAGACTTTGAAAATACCTAATTACAAAGAACATAAACCTAAAGTTGCGTATGTGACTTCCTAACTTTTTTTCCTCAATGACTGAAGCTAAAGTCAAAAAATGTACACGAGTAGATGATGTGATGAAAAGACCAACAGTTGTTGGATTTAACACATCAGGTGAGATATGTGGAACATAGCTAAGTTACCTAGCTAGTAGCAACCACGCAATGACTGTTTGCTAGAATTACAGCGCTAACATGCTGGTGGCATATATTGTGCGAGACGAGCGATGAGTTCATTGAGCGGTTTCACACAAAAACTAAAAGAAAACTGTGACTTTCTTGACTTAAATTATCTTTTAAATTGACAAACATCATGTGTGTAGTTTAGGGAACAAAACATTAGTTGTCTCTCGCCACTGACTCCTGTAAATTCTTTTCCAAAATAAAGTCCCATGGGGTGGAAGTGGAAGTGATGGACTTCATAGGTTTTTGATTGATTTATTAGCATAACAAATCAAGTACATAATCAGGACAAAGCTGGAGTAGTTTTTAAGTCAAATCTCTGAATGCTATTCAGTGATAAAATTGCAGAATTGAAGTTAATTAATGATCAGTGGAAAAAACATTTCACCAATGTTCCCCCATCCAGTCTGACAGTGCTCCGGACTAGGGTTGGTCCAATTGGCGATTGGATCACCTATCGCTGATTGAAGGGATGATCAGAGATTTTCACATTGAAACTGAGCTGTGTGTTTAATGGAAAACTAATGCATTGAATTTAACTCTGACAGTGTTGTGTTAAGAAAATAGACTAACTTCTCAATGTCGGAGAGGGATATGTTAACGTTAGAATACAGCTGGGTTGACACGCTGTACATAGCTGCTATCGATGGTACCCTCCTCCTCCCTGCTGTGTGTGTGGCACCTTTGTACACTGTACTGTGCATTTACAGATGTTTCTGGTGGTTTCCCTTAAAGCTAATAAGCCTGTTTCTTCCACGCTGGCATTTCACTGACTTGCTGCAACGTAACACCGGCCACTGGCAATCAGATCGCCAATTGGTGATCTCAAGTAGCCATGATCAGAAAATAGATACGATTGCCAAACCCTACTCCAGAGGATCTGGAAAAAATGGGAGCAACTGTCCCAGTCCACGTGTGCAGAATGGCAGTAGGAAGATTTAAAGCTGTAATCACTGTCAGTGATGCTTCCTTATTTATGATAGGGGTATTCAATTAGAATTCAAAGAGGTCCAGTTAGAGAAGATTTCCCAAAGCAAAAGTCCGGAATCAAAACAACTAACTTGAGTTATCATTCAGTACCATAATGCGTAGTTGTATCAACATGTGTTTTTAGTCAACAACGGACTGTCCGTTTTCACATCCAACTGGAGGGATAATAAATAATAACTACTCTAATAATAAATTCTAAATTTAAGTAAACTAAAATAAAATGCCTAATTTTTAGAAAAAATTTAATAAAAAGTGTAGCTTGAAGTGATGAAGTGTAGTCTTAACCAATTTTATAATAAACACTCACACACAGTGAGAAACATAAGCTCTAGTTTGTCCTGCTATAGATATTCTGGTTCTGAACTGTCCGTGGGAGCAATTTACATGTAAGAATCTGTACATTCTTGATTAAAAGCCATGTGAAATCTCTTTTCCCTTTCGTCTCCTCAATTCGTCTGTGTTTACAAAATGTCTCATGAATCTGTAAGCCTGTAAGTTTCCTGGGCTGCTAAACCAGTACAGTAAATGCTAGAAAAGCTGCGCTGGTTAAAAAAAAAGAAATGCTCCCTCATGAAGTCTCAATAATAAATCGGCTATAGGTCGGCAGTCCAGAGCGGATGCCTATTAGTGACCACTGATTTATGAGATGTCTTTTCTTTCAAACATCAGGCTTTTGTCTTTGTTATTGAGGGGTATTATGAAGAGACTGATACAATGTGTATATGTATATATATATGTAACCTATTTTAAATTAAATCATTTAAACTAAATACCATAATAACATAAAACTACTATACACTAATAATGTAAAATTGCCCAAGGGTTAACTATTTATTCAGAAGAATTATCCTGTGGTTATTTACCACCTAGATGACATTTAGCTGTCACATATGTTGATCTTTGCATAAAAGCAACTCACCACAAAGCCCAAAGCAACTAGTGGCTCTCCTTCATTCAGGTGATAAAGGAAGGATCCTCCATATGTGTTCCTGTTCAGGGGCCAGCCCACAGAATGCTCCACTCTGCCCGGCCTCCACTTCTTCTCATCAATCGTCCACAACTGAAAAAGCGAACGAGCAGAGGTTGCCTTTAAATTGATCCATTCATAGAGCAAGTTGTTGCATTTCTGTTTTCTACTGTGATTGGAGTTACATCCAGATTGTGTATACATAGTTGAATCCCCAGAGTTTACGCTAGAGGTTATTTTATGGCATATATGAAATCTACAAAAAACTTTCAATGTGTGATGCATGTTTTATTTTTCCATTATTTTTGTATATTGACTTGTTTATGTTTTGCTTAGGTTTTATTTATTGATTATTTACTGATTATAAAGCAATGTGCAATGCGTTTTTTTTTTACATGTATATCAACTTTTAATTATAAAACATTGTGTGATGCGTAATTTATTTTTATTTTATTTATTTTTATTGACAGGTTTTATGCATCATCAATATTCTTGGTTGTACACTACGGTGTGGCACTCATTTTTATTCGATTTGTCTATGTTTTACATTGACTGCTGTAAAGCTATATAGAACTACCACCAGACAAATGTTTAAAATAACCAGCTTAATCACTGAACTCAAACTGCCTATATTTGGGACAGACATCTATATGACACAGGTCTTTAATTAATTTTATGTAAAACTTTGTTTAGCATACTATCCATGTGGTTATTTAAACCACTATGAATATTACTTCTATAAAAATTAGGCTACTGAATAATACTAACATATTTATTACAAATAATTAATTTGATCTAGCTCATACTAGTGAAGCGTCTCTACCAGGCTTCAGTAAACGTTCAGTTCGACAACAGCGCTCTCAGATGGGCTAGATGCTCAAGGTGGCAGCTTACTACTGTTATGGTTGTGTATTGTGTTGGCTGCTGCAGAGAAAATAAAGTTCCTGTTTACAGTATGAACACCACAACAACATCTCTCTACCATCCTTCATCAGTAGCATAGTCAGGACAGCTAATCACCAGCTCCTTATTTTACTTCTCTTCTCGTGATGTTCCAAGAATGGTTAAATAGTTCCCAGTGACTATCGAATAGTATATTTGCTTGAAATGCCCATCCCTACTGTGTTTCTGACTCTGGAGCTCTCAGCTCTGGTGTTAACAGAAAATGCATATAGACTCCTTCCTTTATAATTTAATGTCAGTTTATTTGCGGAAAAGTTGAAGTCATCCAGCCCCTTTATTTATTTGGCATATTTCCATCCGGACATTTTGGCCGTTGATATTTTCATCTGCAGGACAACTAAACGTGACACAGTCAAAAAACTGGCTTAGACCAGCTAATGTTAACCCTGTCCCCAGTGTAGAAATAACTTTACAGTCTACTCAAGATGAACTTCACTCATTAGGATTAATCAAACCAGATTAAGGGGGAAACCAAATTTAAAACACAGTAGACTGACCAATACTCTCTCCAGCATTAGCTTACTATGAGCATTGTATGGTACATGTTATTTACCTCCTTCAGGCCAATGGCGTAGGTCTGGGGTTCACAGTTCTCACGCAGGTTGAACTGTTTGTAAAGCTGCTTGGCTAAGTGGCCATGACAGCCTTCTCCAAACAACGTAACTTTAGCATGGAGCTCCATTCCTCTCTCAAAAACATCCTGAAGCAGGACACACAAATGAGAAGCAACTGAATATAATAGAAATAATATCTGGTTGGTAGGTAACAATAATGGAATTGCTTTTTATGAAGAGGACAGCAACAACAAATCCTGCCTTCTTAGACCCAAAGGAGAAGAAAATAATTTTCTAAATGGCAATAGTAATGTACTGTATGATATAATCACAAAATGACATAATATTGCCCTAATATAATATATGAATGTTACATTTACAACATACTCTATTATCCACTAGATTGTTATGACTAATCAATAGTTTTTTCAAGGACAGTGCACATTTAAGATACTCTTTTCTTTATGAAGCAACACACAAACTACAAAAATCTATTTGAAGGAGGTCAGTCAATGAAATGCTTGATGTCTCAAAATAGGTGCTGTTGGTTTGTTTGACCTACATATCCTGTCAAGGGCCTGACGTATCCAGGCTATTCATGGTTATATTGTAAAGAATGGTCTTTATTTGTGATTTGCAGCAGTATTATTCAATAAAATGTTTTACTGCACAATACCTTTGGCGAGCCATCCTTGGCTATGCCTACATCATTGGTGGCAATTCCTTTGACACTCCCATCTTCATGAAATAAAACCTTGAAAAAAGTAATATGGATAAAGATTAACACTTGGAGTTGAGAGAGCACAGTAAACATGATGAATTAAAACTACCGAATAAGCCCAAAGAGGGACTGTACTTCTGATCACTGATTATATAAGCAGTTTCCCTTATTTGCGTTCAGGAGCGCCAAAATTTCCCACAATCATTATTATATCAGTGCACTACTTATTTTCACTCACACTATGTGCAAGCGACTGGCGACCTGCCCAGGGTGTACCCCACCTTGCGCCCGATGTCAGCTGGGATTGGCTCCAGCCCCCCCCCGCGACCCTGTACGCCGGATGAGCGGTTGACGATGGATGGATGGATGGATGGATGGATGGATGGACTATGTGCAAGCGCAGTAACACTCGTCGCTTGGCTCGCTTCCTCTCCTCATTCTTCAAAGGACATCTAGGCTACGTGACAGGTGCTGTTATAAGAGCGACGTAACTCCGATTCGGAGGGGGGGGGTAGCGAGTGTTTGATTGTCCGAGTGGAATAAAGTGATGTTGAACGCGAGCGGAGGGAAATATTCTGGCAATAAATTGACTGTTGGTTACGGTGTGTTAGCTTTTCAAGACCATGAAAAGTCTGTTTCCCACCTGCTGGAAAAGTGAAGCCTGTATGTGCTAGCTAACATCCCCCCCTCCCCTCAGACTGCGCAGCTGAGCAGGAAAGCTTCTACAGTAGGCTGTGTCTTTTGGCTGCTATGTAACTTCAACATTAGCTCAATTTATAGAAATTAACTGGTAGCTGTATTTTATTACTACCTAGGCTACTTGTCTAATGTTAAGAACATCAGGTACAAACTTAGACTAACCTGGTGTAGCCTACAACTCTGTCCTGTACAGACAGGTACATCTTAAATTATTTTTCAGGTTTCATATGAGTTTAAAAAAGTGGTTGTTAGGATAAGAAAGGACAGTGGTGACTGGAGGAGCTTTTAAGCTAATTAGGAGACGTTTCTTCTTGAATTTTAATGTGTACATAAAATGCAGCTCAGAAGGGAGGTGGTTTCTCATGTTGCCCATTTTTTTTTATTAATGTCTACAGATAAATGTCAAAAACTGTAAAATAAAGACACAAAAGGCAAACCTGAACAATCGTCATATTGACAGGGTTTTCAGCGGTGATGCCCAAAACATGTTGTGCCATTAATGTAAAATCACTGTGGAGAGCATCATAACCAACCAAATTACTTTCCCCAAATCTAAAGGTTGTAGTTCCTCCCCAGAAGACCGATCTTTGGGTGTTGTTATTTGTTCAGAGATATGGTGAACATAATGGCCCCATATGATGTGAAATTACATATTTTTCATTGGAAAACATAACATTTTATTGGGGGAGGACCCCCAAACCCCACCACCCCGCTGACTACCACGACCACCACCAAACCATTCATCTAAAGCTCACATAAAAATAGGGGCAAACACTGAAATTTTAAAGAGGTGGTATTATGCTTTTAGGCCTTTTCCCTCTCCTTAATTGAGTTACATACCTTTATTCACATGCAATAGGTTTGCAAAGTGAAAAAGCCCAAAGTCCAGCCCAAAGGGAGTTCCCATCTCCCACAGAAAACACTGCTCTGAACTGCCTGAAAACAGCTCGTTTGTAGTCCAGTCGTTTCCCTTTCATCCTTGTGTCGACACAGGGATGAAAGAAAAAGCAAGCAGCCAGTCCGACACACTCTCAAAAACACCGGTGGAAAAACACTGGGCTGGAGCACACACCTCCTCTCCCTTCCAAACACTAGCTACCCTCCAGGCAGTTGTTACTGTGATGTAGAGACAGAGCTCAGCTCACAGATTAATAACTCACCACTCTTCTCTGCTTCTGATTGGCTAGTAGTCCGTCCTTAACTAGGAACTGGCATGTGCAACTTCCAACAAAGATCATTTAGAGACAAGATGTATCACTCCATAGCTAAAACAAAGCGATGTTCTGCAGCAATGTGCAGTATGAAAATAAAAATTTTTTTTTTTGAAAATTAAACCATGTAAACATGTACTGGTACATAATACCACCTCTTTAAGCTATTCTAATATATTACTATATTCTTTTTGCAACCTATACTATATTACTATGGTCTCTTTGGGCAATTGTTAACTGTATTTTTAGACAAGGTAAGAGGAAAAAATGGTTTAAACCTGGGGTAGGCAATCCTTTAGAATGAGCAAAAGATTTTGAAAGTATCCAACTGAAAAAATCCCATCCCCATCCCCTAAGACCTCTCTCCCATGCACAATGAGTGCACAGGCAGAGTGCACAGAAGCTTTTAAGCAAAGCAAGTTCTCAGACCCATGGTGTGAGCACTTGTAGTAGGTTTTCAAAGTTTTTAAGTCTGATCTTTATTATAGCACCTAAAAATCAGGCTTTGTAAAAATCAGACCAGTGGCATGTGAGATACTGTGTTTCATGGACAAATCATCTACACAGCCAGTAAATGGAGCTGCAATAATTAATCAAAATTCTCTGATTCCAGCTTGTTAAATGTGAATATTATCTGGTTTCTTTACTGCTCTATGACAGTAAACTGTCAAAACAAGACATTTAAGGACATCCTCTTGGGCTTTGGGAAACACTGATTAATCGACCATGAAAATAATCAATTGTCCTACACAGCTATAGTACATTTTGAGAAAAACAATGGAAAAAAACCTGTGTAAGACATTTGTATTGCGTGCAAATGTCTTTAAGTACATCAAAGAAATTTAAGGTCTCACCTCAGCTGCAGCATATCCTGGATAAAGCTCCACTCCAAGCTCCTCAGCCTGCTCCCCCAGCCAGCGCACAAAGTTCCCCAGTCTCACTATGTAGTTACCATGGTTAACCATGGGGAGACCTAGAGACAGCGGGAAAAATCATGCGCATATAAAATCAGCACTGCTGAGTTTCCAGTGTTTTATTAAGTTTTAACAAGCTGGCCTATGTGTTTGACAGACCATCTGTCAACTCAACTGGATGAACAAACCAAAATACCAGTATGATAAGTCATTTTCCCACCTTTTTGTTAAGGTACTTGGGTCACATAAAAATTAACCTCAGTAATTATATCACAATATATGATAAAAACACATCTTACCCTTTTTCTGTATACAACGGTCCTGCCTTATAAAAAAAACATGATACCTATACATGTTGCAAATTGTGTTTCTAAATTGATTATAATTCAAACATTCAAACAATTTGCCTTATAGCAAGTTTCCTCCATTTAAAATATTAGTTGTGTGGCAACCCCTGTGATTCAGACTCTGCCTCTGAAAAATGTTGCATCAGTATACATTATGTCTGCACACTCGACACACCACTTGACGCGTGCATCCTTTCCGTTTTAAATCCTCTATACTCGACTATTGCCTCTTTCCACTCAGACTGACTATGGTAATATCAATATAACACCCTCTCTGTGGGGCACAACCTGTTAAAGCCTTGTCATTTCAAGTGTGGATTAGAAAGAGAGAAAGCACTACACCATTTTTTTTTCAAATAGAATAAAACAGGCTTTTACCTGGTAAAATGGGGATAGGGATTCTGTGTTTCTCTGTTAAAATGCTAAACACATCTTCAGTCACTGGAGTGTTCAGGGGTGCCTGTGGTAAAAGCACAATGTGTGTTATTGAGAGTTTGACTTCATCGTGATTTGTGTGTTTATATAATTTTTTTATAGTGAAATAACACTTTTTAGATGTACATTTTCAAACATTAACAAAAATGTATGCATATTCATACGTGTACAAGTGTAGGCAAATGTGGATTAATAAACTCTACTGACATTTTGAAATGTGTATTTCTCAACTTAACAAAGTTAAACAATAAAAAATATTTATAACAATAACTAGTAAAACAGAACAAGAGGAGCGTGTTGCTCTATGGAGGAGGCAGCTAGAAGCAGCAAATATTGGCACACTGGCACCGGCTCAATATACACCTGTCTACTGCAGAGTCTTTATCCACAACCTGGAGGAGGAACTGCACAAGAGTGTATTAAATAAAGAGTGTAATGTTTAGTTACTAGTATACTGTTAGTATAACAATAATATAATAAATACTACATATTTTATAATTTCATATAGCCCTAATAGTATACCTTTTTACCACTAGTTGAATATTAAATCCAGTTACAGCTGTTTCATTTCTGTGGGGGGGGGTTTATTCATTAAATCCTTGTGCAAGCAAAAGGTTCTACATTGGTCTCCAATTTGTTAATGCTAAGTACTAACTTGTCAATCAATCATATTGTTCAACATTTAATGATTTGCTGTAGCACGTCAAACTTTTTTAACGTCCTGCCCATCCAGCCGATGATTAATCGGTTTAAGAAAAGTGTGATAAGCACGTTGACTCAACAAAAGGCACAGATACAGCTAACGTTAAGCCACCGAGCCAAAGCCAAACATTCCTTATCTTCTCCCAGTTGTCTCACCGCTTCAGCTGCTGACGACATCTCTGTCTCTGTCACAGAGCGACCGGAGCACCGGCATTTCTCCCAGTGCTCTGGTGGCGAGTCCGACTACGTTTTGAACATAATATATTACCCAACATTCAACCACAACATAGAGCACCTATTGAACTGTTCCCTATGGTATAACGGAAGGGTATCTTTGTACATACACCAAACTGACAAAGAAATGTTGAATAAGACACGCACCCCTCGCTCCTTCCAATCGGGAAAGAGTTCGTAGAGAGCACTGGGCTCGAGACAGGCTCCTGACAGGGTGTGTGCCCCAATCTGAGAAGCCTTTTCCACAAGGCACACTCGTAGCTCCTTCTCATGTTCAATGGCAAGCTGCTTCAGGCGAATGGCTGCTGAAAGACCGGCAGGGCCCCCACCTACTATCACCACATCTGCCTCATCTGCAAACCTCTCCATTTCGACCCCTAGAAAAGGACCACAAGAAGGAAATAGTGAGGAACAAGTTCAGTCTGCAGTATCTTATAGAGGATAACCACATCCCTGTGTCATACACTTAGCAAAGCCTTGCACTACAACGGACAGGATTAGGCAGGGTTCTACTTGCAGTGTAACCATCCAAACTAATTACAAACTATCTGGGTTTTTTAAGCAATTCTATAAGTCTGATAAGATGTCACAAGACAAAAAGACTCATGGATTGAATTTCTGTTTGGGCGGAATACATTTTTCATACCTTTATTATAGGACTATGCAATATGACAAAAAAAACACATCCCGATATAGGTCATTTCATATCTTACTAACGATACATATCCCGATATAGAACATTTTTTGTAAATTCAATGAAATACCAATTGCAACTGGAACTTGGGATATTTCTCTTATTATAAAGGTGGGGTAACTTAAGTGATTCTGAAGAAATCCAACACCATGACAAACATCATGATAAAGTGAACAACAACACAGCAATTAATTTAAGTAATGTTAGGTAGGTTGTGGGTTTACAAACTGATGCTACTTGCTGCTACAAAGCTAACATGACAGGACAAGATGGCTCCAGAGAAGCACAGCGGCTCCAGACTGCGACCTCACAACTCTCCTGCTACCACAGCTCACAGCACAACAGCAGCATGTCTGGGGGAACTTTAAAGTAAACTGTTTGTCCGATGTGCAAGTCATTTAACTTTACCTGAATGACACACACATCATGGCTGGCACTGCTGGATAGTGTTGTGTGGCGCGTCCATTATTTTTAATGCAAATTTCTTCCCTGCAATACCGGCAGGTGTGGAAGAATGGACAGCGGTGAAGTTCGTTTCAAGTTGGATATTAGTTTTACGTTGGACATTCACAGACTGTATTTAAGAAGTTGACGTAGTCATCGTGGCGTCACCCGTTGGTTTGTGGACTGCCGTTTTGAAGCCTCGAGTTTGGCCGAGAGGGCACCGCCATGTTGAGTTTTTGCAACCAGCGGCACAGGATGTGACCATATTTGGACGAGACGGTGGCGCTAGCGGCTGTGTGTGCAGCTAGCTAGCTTGCTTAGCTAGGTGCATCTGTAATTCACGTTAACTGTCATTTAAACAGGTCTGTCCATTTTGTCTAGCGAACAACAGTCTTAAAACTAAATGTATTCACCAGAGAAAGTGAACAGCCAACTCCTAATAAGCTTTTTCAATGGCGGTTAAATTTCCACAGTGTCGTGGGTACGAGTCACTCTAGCCCGATTGACAGGTCGCCATAGTAACGACTTGTCAATCATAGATAATCCTGCCCTTAAGCATACTCTGCTTTAAGGTGTATTTTACTCTAAATGGGACCATAATTTACTAAATGAACATCATGTTGTATTGAAGAAGACCTGAAACTAGCGACTGAGATCATAAACTCATTATGAAAGTGTTTACTGAGGTAATAAATCAGGTGAGAAGTAGGGTCATTTTACCATTATTTCTAATGGAACTGGACTTCTTTTTGCAACCAGAAGAGTCGCCACCTGCTGACTATTCGATAGAATGCAGGATTAAGGGACTCCCGCATTGGATTCACGTCTCAGACTGGAAGCTTCCTGCTTATGGACATTCAATAGATGTCGAATTCCAACTTCAAACTAACTTCACCACGGTGCATAGCGCTGTTGCCTCCCCAAAATATTATGGTAAAGTTTGGAATTTGCGACAACATTATAAATGATAGAGCATAATTGTAAACAATAGACATTTCTCTATCATCAAAGATAGATATCGTCATATCGCAGAGCCCTACCTTCATACTTTCCTTTCACCAGGGTATGACATGGTATATTTGTGTGTTAAAAAAAAAGTAAAGCTGCTTATCATAGAAGTCACTGTAACATGTGTAACATTGTCTAGCCTTCAGTGCTGTGTGTCTAATATGTAATTAGCCTACTTAGATAAGTCTTGCTGGGTTTAATACGTGGCCCATAGAATAATGAATAGACTGAAAGTAAGTGCCTTCTTCTATAGATTCTTGATGGGAGGACTGGATGACACATCAGTGGGCTGAATGCTGACGATGTGCACACATCTTTGTCCGTGTGGGCTAGGGCTGAACGATTTTGGAAAATAATCTAATTGAGATTTTTTTAATCAATACTGCGATTGCGATTTAATATGCGATTAATCTTTAAACTCTTTACCTTCTGTATTATTCAAAATGGACAAGCAGTAAATCGTTAGGTAGAATTATTATTATGAGCAATGGTGGAGAAAATATATCAAATTATAATAATATGAGAAACATAATTTGAGTCATGGCATTAAATAATATGATATAATATCATCAGGTCGGCCTACCTACAGACCACAAGAAAAAGTTCACTAGTGTGTATACTGTAAGTAAGCGCTCCAGACAAAACCTACAGTTCAACCACCAATTAGTGAGTCCTTATCTCAGTTCATCTTTCTGTATCCCAGTAAGCAAACAAAAAATACTCAGTTCATCGCGATAATATTGCTAATGCAATTAATCGTTCAGCCCTAGTGTAGGCTGGCTCAATTTTATAATCTGGACCGAACTCAATTTACTCCCAAACAATGGGGCATTTTTGTTGTTTACTAGTCCTGTAGTATCATCCAACCTGTCGCAGTCGAAAGTGAGCAAGAAGCAGGTGAATGCAGCAGAGAAGAGTAAATGGTGAGCTGGGAAGTTTGGCAGTGAATGTACAGTGTAGGTTACAATTTGTCAGTAAATTTAGGCTGCAGCTTAAGCTTGTGTGTCGTTTACCAACTGCTGGAAAAGTGAAGGGGGTTATCGCTTTGTCACATTGTAGATGATGTCATGCAGTTTCACGCAGCATTGCCCGCCTACGTACACTACAACATATCAGTTTAAAAGGGGAGCATCTGTATTTTTGATGGTATTGAAAATCATACCATCTGGATTTCTAAATCTGTATAACCTGTAAACCTGTATACAGTAATAACGCCCAAGCCTAGTTGAACTGGATCAATCCTGTCCACCCTTCCTGTCACAGCAAATCCACACTGATGTTTAATTTTTCTAAGACATTAAACAAAACACTATAGAACAAAATGCAAAATCTTACAGGAAATCAAAGTAAATTTGTAAAGCATGTTGTGTTTACTTAATACGTCCAGCTGTCAAACATGTCTACGTGGCTTTAGTAAATTTGTTGAAGGTTTACAATAAGTTAAAGCTGCATTGTGAGTCTTATTGTGTAGGGGCAAAAAATAAACAAAATGGATTTATTACCCCTTTACATACAATCAAAATATTCAATCATATGGTTATATGAGGATGAGGTAACTTTTGTTCAGTGTAAACATCTTATCCAAAATATGGACTAAACCAGGATTAGATATGACGCAGATCAAGCTACGAAAAGATCAATCTTTTCAGGATGCCAATGTCTGGCATGCTTGACCTAACTGACCAAAAAAGGGTCTTGAGTGTGAGTAATTATAATAACATAATTTTAACCTCAGAGTAAATTTAAATAATGCTGGCTCTTACCTTCCCATCTTGGATCTTTATCACGAGAATGGATGGTGTAGTGTGTTGTGATGCGGGGTGTTGACACAGAAGAGCACGTCCTTCTGTTTAGTGTTGTGTACAGCTGAGGGGCAGCATGCTCTGTCTGTACTCTCTTCAATGCCCTGATACACCTGTGTGCTGCAAGAGAGAGAACAGCACCCAGTCAAGACCAACTGAAATTGCTGGGCATATGACCGTACTGTGTTGTCACTGTTTTAGTTGAGCCTGATCAGGTTCAAAACAACATTCAATACAATAAAATGACAGCAAATAAAGCCGTACCAATGTAGACAGGTGACAGGATATATCAGGAAGATTTCTGAAAACACCTCAAGAAACAAAAAGATATTTGTGCAGCAAATATAGGAAAAATGCCAAGCAGCTGTCACACTGCTAAGTTGCAGCAGTAGCACCATGCTAGTTACAGTAACATCACAGCTAAGATAGATTTAAAGTCCAACGCTACAAATTAACATCCTTATTACGTAGCAAAACACTTTACGTAACTTCCAAATGTATTACAAGTTAATAACATCATCAGTGTAGATCTAAAAAGCGTAAATTTGATATATAACGTTCAACTGGGACAAGGACACTGTTCTAATGACCTATATTGGTTCAACTTTCACCTACATTAGCTTGATGCTAACATCAGTGAGCTTTCTGGACTGTTTTGGCTAATGCTAATGCTAGCATTTGTAGAAAGTATAAAATAAGTCAGGCATAAAGGGAAAAAAAACTATTCACCACCCTGTATAACTGTGGTTAGCATATAAATCGTGTAGTGACATCAGCCAACACTCTATGTAAACTTTAGCTATTAGCTTTGTGCAGTCCAGCGCTGCAAGCTCGCAATGTGTTTGCTAACTAGCCATTCGCTGACGTGACGTTACCTTTACTTGAATATCTGCTGGCTGGAAACATTATGTGTCAGCTAGTGTCAGCTCACTAGCGAACACCGTGGTTTCTTTTTAAAATCAGCCGATGTGACGCTGTGGTGTCCTCGGTTCACTACCAGTGCAAAGCTTGTTGTGTGTGTGTGACCCGCCCGCTCCGCCGATGTACAATGTTACCTTACGAAATGCCTCTCGTAACACCAGACATTTGAGAGCGTCAAAAGCTGCGCTGATGCGGCGGCGTTCATGGACCTGAAAAGATTGGTAACTGCGCAAACGTGAATCTCTACAGTCTACAGATCTCCACACTACTCAGTCCGAGTTTCAGTAAATCTGAGACGGTGATGTGTAGGAATCGTGTTTTAAATGAGTCATCCCAGGCCGCCGGTTGTGACCGGGACGAGTCCATAGACGTTTTGCTTTTCTTAAACTTTATGACCTACTTCTTTATTTACCAGTGGTTTAAGTACATTTAAATAGGCTGAAAGTACTGTAGACTTCTTTACAGTTTTGAGGTTAAATATGCATTTCAATAACCTAAGTTACTTAAATACTTCACATTTCAGATGCATACATTATAAATTATAGTTTTTACACCCCGCTACATGAATCTGACAGCTATTACTTTTGAAAATTAAGATTTTAAATACAAACCTTAGAAAATGTTGACAGTATCTTTTATCCATACCTGTTACACCTGTTTTGTGATTGTTGTTTATTATTTGAGATGTTATTTTTTCTGCAGTTTTCTGCTAACCCTGCATGCCAGTATATTAGCGGAGGCTATTGAGTTCAGCATTCAATGTAAGCTAATGTTAACTACTAACTTTCTACTTGTGGGCTACTCTTGTGGACTCTATGTATGTTTACTAAATTAATTAGAATTACAATAAGACTTACTAAATGGGAATGAATGTCAAAACTTGCTGCTTTACTGTTTATACAGGTGAAACTCAAAAAATTAGCATATCGTACAAAAAGTTCATTTATTTCAGTAATTCAACTTAAAAGGTCAAACTAATATTATATAGACTCATTACATGCAGAGTGAGATATTTCAAGCCTTTGATATAATTTCGATGATTATTGCATACAGCTTATGAAAACCCCAAATTCAAAATCTCAGAAAATTACATTACATGAAATCAAAAAAAGAAAAAACGCATTTTAATACAGAAATGTCAGCCCTCTGAAAAGTATAATCATGCATATGTACTCAGTACTTGGTTTGGGCCCCTTTTGCATGAATTACTGCCTCAATGCGGTGTGGCATGGATGCTATCAGCCTGTGGCACTGCTGAGGTGTTATGGAAGACCAGGATGCTTCAATAGCGGCCTTCAGCTCTTCTGCATTGTTCGGTCTCATGTCTTTCATCTTTCTCTTGGCAATGCCCCATAGGCCATTCAGGTCAGGCGAGTTTGCTGGCCAATCAAGTGCAGTAATCCCATGGTCATTGAACCAGGTTTTGGTACTTTTGGCAGTGTGGGCAGGTGCCAAGTCCTGCTGGAAAATGAAGTCAGCATCTTCAGAAAGCTCATCTGCTGAAGGAAGCATAAAGTACTCTAAAATGTCCTGGTAGACGGCTGCGCTGACTCTGGACTTATAAAGCACAGTGGACCAACACCAGCAGATGACATGGCTCCCCAAACCAACACAGACTGTGGAAACTTCACACTGGACTTCAAGCATCTTGGATTGTGTGCCTCTCCATTCTTCCTCCAGACCCTGGGACCTTGGTTTCCAAATGAGATGCAAAATTTGCTCTCATCAGAAAAGAGGTCTTTGGACCACTGAGAAACAGACCAGTTCTTTTTTTCTTCAGCCCAGGTAAGATGCTTCTGACGTTATTTGTTGTTCAGGAGCGGCTTGACAAGAAGAATACGACATTTGAAGCCCATGTCCAGGACCCATCTGTGTGTGGTGGCTCTTCATGCAGTAACTCCAGCCTCAGTCCGCTCCTTGTGAAGCCCCCACACACATTTGAATGGCCTTTTCCTGACAATCCTCTCTAGGCTACAGTCATCCCTACTGCTTGTGCACCTTTTTCTTCCACACTTTTCCCTTCCACTTAACTTTCTATGAATGTGCCTTGATACAGCACTTTGAGAACATCCAACTTCTTTTGCAATTACCTTTTGAGGCTTTCCCTCCTTGTGGAGGGTGTCAATGATGGTTTTCTGCACAACTGTCAGGTCAGCAGTCTTCCCCATGATTGTGAATTCCACTGAACCAGACTGAGAGACCAATTAAAGGCTCAGGAACCCTTTGCAGGTGTTTTGGATTAATTAGCTGATTAGAGTACACATTTTCTGAGATTTTGAATTTGGGGTTTTCATAAGCTCTACGCAATAATCATCGAAATTATATCAAATAAAGGCTTGAAATATCTCACTTTGCATGTAATGAGTCTATATAATGGTTTCAGCTTTAAAGTTGAATTACTGAAATAAATGAACTTTTGAACGATATGCTAATTTTTCGAGTTTCACCTGTACTTTGATTCTTCCTGTCAGGAAAACCCTGGTTAAGTTAGGTCAAGGCCAGCTCCTGTTTTGAAAGTTAATTCAGGTTGCTGCACAGCTGTGCACCTAAATGCATAGTGAAAGCAGAAGATCCACTTTGCTGATTTTCAATGCAGGACCAATTAAGTAATTTTACGTAAAGGTGACCTGAGTACTTCTACCATTGTGTAGGCCTACTATTCTTAATTTATCAAAGAAATCTCTAACACCCAACCCCAAAAAACCAAGGACCACAGGACTAAATGGCTACCGACCCGTCACCCTGACCTCTGTGGTAATGAAGTCTTTTGAGCGCCTTGTATTGTCCCACCTTAAATCCATCACAGACCCTCTCCTGGACCCCCTGCAGTTCGCCTACAGAGCCAACAGGTCTGTAGATGATGCAGTTAACATGGCCCTTCACTTCATCCTCCAGCACCTGAACTCCATCCTCCCAGCCCTGTTGTAGGACAAGCTTTCACAGCTGAGTGGGCTGATCCCTGACTTCCTGACGGACAGCACATGAAGATGGGAATACATGTCTCTGACTCCAGGACCATCAGCACCGGTTCACCACAAGGCTGTGTTCTTTCCCCTCTGCTCTGTATACCAACAGCTGCCCCTCCAGTGAGCAGGCCATCAAGCTCGTGAAATTTACGGATGAACAGAACAGTCAAGAGTTGAATGCTCTGAAGACAGTGGAGATGGCAGCGGACTTGCACTATCCTGTGCGACTCGCCAGCTGACACTGTGGACTCCTTCCACCTCCTGGGCGCCAGGACCTCAAGTGGGAGCTGAACATCACCTCCCTCACCAAGAAGGCCCAGCAGAGGATGTACAGTACAGGCCAAAAGTTTGGACACACCTTTTCATTCAATGCGTTTCATTTTACATTGTAGATTCTCACTGAAGGCATCAAAACTATGAATGAACACATATGGAATTATGTACTTAACAAAAAAGTGTGAAATAACTGAAAACATGTCTTATATTCTAGTTTCTTCAAAGTAGCCACCCTTTGCTCTGATTACTGCTTTGCACACTCTTGGCATTCTCTTGATGAGCTTCAAGAGGTAGTCACTTGAAATGGTTTTCCAACAGTCTTGAAGGAGTTCCCAGAGATGCTTAGCACTTGTTGGCCCTTTTGCCTTCACTCTGCGGTCCAGCTCACCCCAAACCAACTCAATTGGGTTCAGGTCCGGTGACAGGTCATCTGGCGCAGCACTCTATCACTCTCCTTCTTGGTCAAACAGCCCTTACACAGCCTGGAGGTGTGTTTGGAACCAAAGATCTCAAATTTGGACTCGTCAGACAAAAGCACAGATTTCCACTGGTCTAATGTTCATTCCTTGTGTTTCTTGGCCCAAACAAATCTCTTCTGCTTGTTTCCTAGCAGCAACTTGACCATGAAGGCCTGATTCGCACAGTCTCCTCTTAACAGTTGTTCTAGAGATGTGTCTGCTGCTAGAACTCTGTGTGGCATTCACCTGGCCTCTAATCTGAGCTGCTGTTAACCTGCGATTTCTGAGGCTGGTGACTCAGATGAACTTATCCTCAGCAGCAGAGGTGACTCCTGGTCTTCCTTTCCTGGGGCGGTCCTCATGTGAGAACCATGTGAGTTTTTGCGACTGCACTTTGGGGACACATTCAAAGTTTTTGCAATTTTCCAGACTGACTGACCTTCATTTGTTAAAGTAATGATGGCCACTCGTTTCCCTTTACTTAGCTGATTGGTTCTTGCCATAATATGATTTCTAACAGTTGTCCAATAGGGCTGTCAGCTGTGCATCAACCTGACTTCTGCACAACACAAATGATGGTCCCAACCCCATTAATAAGGGAAAAAATTCCACTAGTTAACCCTGACAAGGCACACCTGTGAAGTGAAAACCATTTCACGTGATTACCTCATGAAGCTCATTGAGAGAACACCAAGGGTTTGCAGAGCTATCAAAAAAGCAAAGGGTGGCTACTTTGAGGAATCTAAAATACAAGACGTGTTTTCAGTTATTTTACACTTTTTTGTTAAGTACATAATTCCATATGTGTTCATTCATAGTTTTGATGCCTTCAGTGAGAATCTACAATGTAAATAGTCATGAAAATAAAGAAAATGCATTGAATGAGAAGGTGTCCAAACTTTTGGCCTGTACTGTACTTCCTGCGGCAGTTGAAGAAGTTCAGCCTGCCAAACGCACTTCTACATCTCCATCATTGAGTCCATCCTCACCTCTTCCATCACCATCTGGAATGCTGCTGCCATTGCCAGGGACAAGGGCAGGCTGCAGCGTATCATTCGCTCTGCAGAGAAGGTGGTTGCAATCTTCCATCCCTTCAGGACCTGTACGCCTCAAGGACTCTGAGATTGCAGATGACCCCTCCCATCCCGGTCACAAGCCCGGTTTCAGTCACTCCACTCTATCAGGAAACTGCGGTCCATCAGGACCAAAACCTCTCGTCACAAAAACAGCTTCTTCCCATCTGCAGCTAACCTCATTAACAGGGCCCGGTTCCCCCACTGACACTCTCCCCCTTTCAAATACTGTAAATGTCTTTGCACAAGTAAATATTTTTTCATTTCATCATTGCACAAACTTATGCACATACTTGTTGTTAATTGTTGTTATTCTTTTAACCTGCCCTCCATTCAGGACATTGTATACATTTCCAGAGTCAGGAAACGGGCAGGAAATATCACTGCAGATCCATCTCACCCTGGTCACAACCTGTTCCAGCTTCTCCCTCTGGTAGGCGCTACTGAACACTGTACGCCAAAACCAACAGACTCTTCCCACAAGCAATCACTGATGAACATCTGATTTCTGTGTCAGAAACAATTCCTGTGTAATAACCCAGTCTCTAATCAGCCACCTGTTAACTGGTTACCACTTATTTATTCATCATTTTCTATTTCAGAGCTGTTCATACTGTTATATTGTCATTTTGTATATTGTATATACTGTATACCAAATCCACCTACCGCATGTACATAACACTTGCACATAACACTTATTTATTCCAACATCATTTGCACTATGCTCCATCACACGGTGTATGTGTACCTATATATCTCATCCACCTCCGACATGTACATAATAATGATAATAATTTTACTCCTGCATCCTTTGCACTCTGCTCATTGCACAATCGGTCTATATTGTTTTTGTTTATAGTGTGTATATGTGTTCTCTATACTGTAGCCTGTGTGTGATTTTATTATTGTGTTATTATTGTATTGTAAGTAAGCACATTGCAAGCAATGTACAATCCTTAGTCAAATTCCTCATTTGTACACATACCTGGCAAATAAAGCTGATTCTAATTTTTATATTCTGCAAATTTATATATTTATAGCCTATAAATACAATATCCTCTCCCACTGCAATAGGTCAAACCCATTGTAATGCACATGTAAATGTCTGCCACATACTTTTTCTGCACATAGTATTTTTTTTTTTTACTATTCTTTTATAACTTGCATCTGTTTGTTCCATATTTATATATTTTTACATTTATTTATGTTTGTCTACATGTAGCACCTTATCACCAAAGCAAATTCCTCGTACATGTAAAATACTACTTGGTACAGTGCTTCATTGACTTTATGTTTCAATCGTCTAAACAATCACCAAACTAATAAGATAAATAACTATATATAAGTCAAATAATGAATACTGAAAAAGAGCACAAGCAGATATGAAGCATACATATATTTATTGTCCACATTTCAATCAACAAAAACAAAAATACAAGAACTTCCTTTGTAAATAATTATTGTAGGACACAAGTCAATACAACAAAGTAAACAACACATTTCAAAAACATTTTTTCCACTCATTATATGTAAGCCTGCAGATATTATCAATATATCTCAAGCAAACCGCTGGCTTCTTTGTCTTTTCAGGTACGTATGGGAATAATGTAAACACAAACAGCATATACAACATATATACACATATTATTGTTTTAATAATGAATTTATTTTCCTCTGTGTTATAGCATGTTTGCTAGATATTCATTCATCTGAAAAAGTCAATTTCCACAGGAATCAGTAGTTCATTGAACAAAGTATGCACAGAAAAGTTTACGATCAATTCTACAAATGTCTTTGCTGTACACACCATAGTGTAAAAATGTTTAGAATGGAGTAGGTGGTGAGGTCAGTCCAAATTCAAATCCCCAGACCAGCTGGGGAATTTCTGCACAGGATGTATAAAAGACAGTTTAGAATTGCTGCATGTGTTGATGTAACCCACTTGCCAAATGTTCTGTTTGAAGTACTTTCTTTGCTGTACATGTCACATACATTCAGTATTTCCCTAAACAATTTTTGGTGGCAGAGGAAACAAAAAACACTTAACAATGAAATTGACTAAAGACCAACTGCAGAATTAAGATATCTTAGCTGCCTGGAAGACTGCTAAAACTTAGGTTACCTTGATGTACAAAGTGTTCTTTGCTGCAAGTAGGTTTGCCTAGTCACTCTTGAAAAAAGAAAGGCATAAACGGGATTGATTCACAGTCCTTCTGCTGGTTCAAAGCCTTTAGCTGCAAATTTTAGTTTTTCTTGTCACATAATGTTCCCATGCGACATCCTTACTCAGGGCCTGGAGAAAGACTTTAAGAACTAATGAACTTGCTGCAAAGATGGTAGTGAATTTAAAAAATAAATGCATTTTTTAACACACTGTTGAAGAGTTTATCTATGGCGTTTAATGTAATTTAGATAAATCATGAGCAGCACAATGACCTACAAAGTAAATGGTTTACTTCCTTGTGTGGTGCCTATCTTAGTGGTTTCTGTTTCTGTTTACAGTGGAAATCTAACATTATTCTAAATATTTAGGAACATCTTTGGTTATAAGTAGTCACTGCCGCCCGTGTGATCCCTTTGCATGAGTACACCATCTGCCATGTCAGCATGGGTTGATATACAGCCACAAATGTTAGTTTGAGTTAAAGCTGGTACATTAATGTCAACAGAGATGTTAATATGTACAGTTAGAAATGTATCAAACATGTTTTTCTAAATTATTAAGACATTAGCCCAACATGATGAAGTTTCTCAGTGTACACTACTCAGTGAATCCTATCAGTTTAAAATATTAAGCAGTTTGAGCAATTTTGTTATTTTTAAAAATGCTCTAGTTGACTGCCTATCTGTGAGCATTTTTCTATTTTAATGAGCAGCAACTCTGCAGGGACATTAACTCGCACATTTAGCGGGTTTCAAATTCTCCACAAGGGAGAGACTTTAGTTATTGCCAACCCCGCTGACTAGGTGCGTTTAAGATGTTAACAAAAGGCATGCTGGTTAGTAATTGGCCCAGTCCCAATGTCCACACTCACAGACTTTGAGGCGTGTTCCCGGGAAGTTCGTGAAGGCTTAGGGCTGTCCCACGGGCAAGTTGTCAACTGTTCGAGGGCTCTCTTACGGACATTTTGAGCCCTTTTTAAACCCTTTTCTTAAGTCCACATATCTGCAGATTTTGCCTGAAGGAATTCCCACACTTCATAGCGGTATGACATGAAACATGGGGGTTACAAGGGTTACAAGCGACAGAAATATCATGGCAAATCTGCCTTATAAGAGAATAAGCTCTTCTAAACAGACAAGCATGGAAACCAACGCTGATGCTAAAATTGTTCGAATTTTTCTTAACATAGTTTTAAGATGGTACATAGAACACATGAAGTAAGAGGAATGCAATCACCTTACTACACACTTAGTTTATTCAACTATTTATTTTAGTTTTTGCTTAATGATGCTGTTTTGACCAACAACAGTGCATTGATTATTGACAAGTGTATTGAAATGTTCCTCTCCTCCACTGTGTAGTGGAGCCTGCAAGACTTAAAAATCAGGTAAAAACATAAAATAAAAAGTGTGCAATGTATTTCAGTGTCATCAAGGTAACGTGATAATGTGGCAAAGTGCTGTCCCATTCCTGTTTACAGCATTTTGAGTCCTTGCAGCCTCTTGCACTCAATCACTTTCCAAGTGACATCAGTAAAGTCTGTGAGGGTTCAGGGCTTAGGGGGGACACATTGGGATTGGGCCATTGTGAAAGACAAATGGGGTATGGAGAGGTTTCTTGCTTCCTAGCAGTAGTTATAGTGGGATACAAATAATTTCAGTCTATATATTCAAACATTACATTACCATACATATACATTTTATGGCGCAAAAGGCTGGACTAACATGTAGCACTCCTACTGTATTTTCCTCGTCTTCCCAGACCAATTGCACTTCACTCTCCTCAATTACTCCTCTCAGGGAGCGAGGTATCAGAACTCCTGACCTGTAGCTCCCATCACATGCCCACTGGACCCGATTGCTATCTCCTCCAAGCCATATCTCCAACCGTGGTGCCGGCAGGGCATTAGCCTACCTGTAATCTAGCTTGTTAAACCAAGTTACCACCCGAGTTCAGTTTATTTCTGAACAGGTCTCAGCGGAAACATTTTTCTTTTATCAGGAAGCAGCATAAACGGTCTAGGACGATGTACAGTATGGAACGTTCTGTTAAACTGTCGCAGCTGTGCTTGCCTCACACAAACGCCCCCCAGCTGCTGAAGTTGAATTGTCTTGAACTTTTTGTACGTGGCGCGCAGCACAAATCACTGGAAGAGAGACTGATCCTCGCTGTTTGTGAGTTATCAGAATCTATTACTGTTTGCTAAATAGGACATCAACAGGAAGGAATTCGCATAGCAGAGCATCCCAAAACTAGATGAATGCCCATCAGGTAGGCTAAAGTTAAGCTATGTATAATTGACCCTTCGCTAAGCCCCGACCCCCTTAGTTACTGTTGCTAAGTCCGACAAACTGTCGGCGCTGCCACTGACTATTACTGCACTCCCCGGAGAAATAATGTATCGTGAAATTTGTCGAACTGACTCAAACAGACATGAAAAAAATTAAAGATAGAAGCCAAAGCCTACCGATCACATAATACAAGTGAACCACTGAGACAAAAGACAACGATATGAACGATCAACACTGTTCCTGTAAAGCTGGGTAGGTCTCTATTCATTATTACATTCATTAAAAATCAGAACAGTAGGGCTTTATTACGTTACATTCAGTAGGAAGTTAGCTAGCGTTAGCTAACTAACATTACATTAGGAACAATCCACGGCCGACATTTCTGGATTTACTTTAAATCGTACTTCTCCTATCAACCTCTCTGGGTGGCACTATCACAAGTGCCCCAGGAACAGCCACCATATCTTAGAAAAATACAGCCAAAAAAAGCTAGAAAATTACTCTTTTTACATTAGAGTCAATGGAGCGCATCCAAGTGTTGGACCTCAGTTAGAGTGAGACCTATACTGCGCTGTGATTGGCCAGCTGTGTATTCGGGGTGTGGTTTAGCAAAGGGTCAACTGTTGCCATGGTTATTCTAGAGCGCCTTCTGTTTACTCGCGGAGCGCTTGTCTCCCTTTCTGTTTACCTGAGAGAACCTACGGGGCCAAGTGACGCCGACCCAATACTAATCAGCATGCAGTGTGTAGCTATCCATTTCGCTATGGCACTGGATCGCTTGTCTTGCTTTTGTTTATCTGGGCTACTTTTCCCACACGCTGCATCTGTCGAAGCCTCCCTCCACTGCTTGTTTGGGTGGGTGATTTGCAGGTTGATTAACATCCCACCTCCCCTGTGACCCATTGTTTGACTGTATGTTTATTCAGAGCAAGTGAGAAATGGACTTTCAAAATAATAGCCTAATAATAACAACTGTGTCAACGTGCGATAAAATAATTGTCGGCGTTAATTAATTAACACGATAATAACACCTTAACGTGCCCAGCCCTAATTTAAATACTTGTCTTTGTTTTCAGTTGTTCAGTTTTTCATGTTTTATTCCTATAATGTGGGTTTCACATTAATTTTGTAAGATTTTTGTTCTGTTTGACTGGTTGAACTCTAGTTCTGAGTGATATATTAGGATTGCCATCAACAGATGCAGATGTTTTACACTGAAAAATACAAATACAGATCTCCCTTACATTTAACACAACACAGCAACACACATTCAAGAACATTAGAACAAGTACAGAGACCTACAGAATAAAGGGCCCCTAGTCCCTCTAAAGTCTCTGTTAGAAGGACAGGGCAAACAATTATGCATCTTGAGCATAGCGACACTGGAAGTCTAGAACGTGGTGGAGGTTTTGTTGTAAAGTTTCGGTGAGAGTTGCGAGATGAAGTGTCTGCCACTGAATGAAGCAACCCTTCATCAGCAATTGCAACAAATGCACTTTAATGACCTGAGTCTAGACTAAATAACTACTATCAAGTGATGGCAGCAAAATGTACTTGAACATATGAAAAATCCACAGTGCATCTTAGACCCACTTGTGGACCTTTACCAACATCAATTTAATATCTGCATAAATAAACTACTTGAGAATAAAAAATCTTGGCACACTGTATATCCTTGGAATAACAATTGTTGTTGCCTGAAAGCAAAAGAAAGACGTGTTCATATACTTCTCACATTGTCTGCAGTCCAGCAAATCCTCTACCACCAGGAGAAATCTCTATCAGCTGTGTGCCTGACACACAACACTCATCAATACTCACATCAAACAAGCTCTTACGTTCTAATTACTTGCTAATATATCTGTACAGTGTGAGCATAGAAGGTTCTGGCCATGCAGAAAGGCTGATGTAGGGTGACTTAACAAAACGTAAAAGATTCATTGCAGTGTCTGCTCAGCTTTAGTGGTAAGAAAACCTGTACCTGTCAGCCTCACACAGTCGTAATTGGGAATCAATTCAAATGTGCTGAGTTACCCGTGGCTTATGTAACACTGAGTTACCTGTGGCTGATGTAATATCTTTCTAAACTGTGGTCATTGTAGTTGAGTGCCTGTTGTTTTGTGTAAGGTAAAGAAGTCCCCCGCAGATTCCTTTACTGTTGATGGAAAAGTAATCGAAGAGGCAAATTGTGAGGAAAGGAATAAAATTCATGAGCTTGAACACCCAGGCGACTGACTGTGGACATAATGTCTGTGATGTCACTACTTTTATGATTGTCAAAAAATGCCATGACAAGACAAAACCAACAAAGTCTTAGCCCATCTCAATACTTTCCAACTTTCACAAATCTTGCAGCCCCCAGGTCCATTTACAGTGCAGGACAGTGTATGTGGGACTAACACAAAATAAACTACTCTGGCTGTGCCCACGGTAATAAAGGAACATGTCACCAGTGTGACGGCGTGGCTCACTGTTATGTTATTGATTGAGTCACTTGTCATTAAAAAATGCTCCAAAATGTACTTCCCTTTATAGGAGACCTATTATGCTTTTCCATATTTTATGACTTATCCACAATGTTACAATGCTGGATATAAAATATGGGCAAAGCTTCAAATAATGAGATAAAAGTATTTAAAAGAAATCCCTGTGAGCCGAAAACCTCAGATTTCCTCCTGTTCTGAACTGCTTTTTCTACCAGCAGCTCCGCATACATACGTTCCACATACGTTCCATATATGGTCATTTGCTCCGCACAGCTACGCTCATTCTGTGTACTACTCAGTGACAACAACAGCCTGGTAACATGCTTCAGGTCTTGGCCACCCTTAAAGAGACAGGAGCATCTACAGCTTGTTTCAGACAGAGGCCTACATGAAGAGTCAGTATAAGACAGAAAATCTTTTTTTTTAACTTTGAATCATGCAAAGCTGCCATACAGGACTCACAGAACTACAATATAGGACTGGAAAAGCAGTTTAATAGGTCTCCTTTAAGCCATAATACGCTAGCTAGCATTTTGTCCATATTCTACAAAATATCCACAACTAAATGGCTAAAAATTTGAGCACCACATAATTTTAACAAAGATAAAACAAGTGATCTTGATTTAAGATTTTTTTGCTACTGTTTCTAAAGTCAAGAATGAACTACAATCAACAATTACTTTGCTAGCATTCAACTACAATATATTTAATGAGTCTTAGCCACGCAAACACAGTCAAATGGTTAATGCTATAGTTCTGTCTTTTAACTCTAGCTGAAAACTAGTGGAATAAAAGCCAAACCCTAAGTGGGGCATGACTTCAGCACTGCATTAATGGATGTCTTTTTGGAGCCCGCATGTAGTCTTCATTAGAGGAACTGTACTGTCACATAAGGGATAACTAATGATTTTTAACCACAAAGGAGAAATTGGGCACAAATCAAGGAGTGTATTTTTAATAGGCTGGACACTCTAAATTACAGAGCTGAATGAACCTGAATCACATTTAATTAGTTGAGGTTAATCTTTGATAACATTACAAACAGATCCATGCACAATAGATCTGCTGTTCGACACCTAGATGAGTTCATTTGTTTGTGTGTGTGTGGGTGTGACTGTGTGCGACATTGTTTGTTTCTGTGAGCATACCGACAGGCCTGGATGTTGCTTCAACTGTTGCTGTGTGCATGTGATAACGTCATTGTATCCCTCGTTGGTATTTTCCACAGGGGTGAGCTTGGCTAGCGTGCCTGTCATTTCCAGTGGATGCCCTGTGGTGAGGCCGTGGCTGTTCTCCTGCAGGGGCCACATTTCTTGCCAGGTGAGTGACGGATGATGAGCTGGGTGACCGCTGAGCAGAGGCCTCCTTTGCCTGTAGTTAGCCCATACCTGCAGAATGGTCTCTTTGAAAGGCCGTGTTGTCAGCGTGTAAAGGATGGGGTTAAGGGCGCTGTTGATCGGGAGAATAAATATGACCACCCAGGAGCTGATGGTACCTGCCGAGAGAGAAAATAGACAGTGAAACAACAGAGCTGGTATATAGTCTGTTTAAAGATTATTAAGTTTAACATGGCTGTGAGTTGTGAGAACATGAAAGCATAAAGCCTTTTATCATAAGTCATTTATATAATGAATGAAAATCCTTTTAATCCCTACAGGGGACCTAATTAGGGATTATGTATGTAACAGATTCAGCACAATAATAACTGGTCATTAGGTATACAGAGCAAACTGCACTATGTTGAATACAGTTACATGCTCTTTATACAGTGATAAATACCTTTTGAAAAATCCTTTAAATAAACATAGTAATACATGTTAAATAACTTTAATGACATACAGATAATGCAATACTTCAATGTGATACTAGACCAAAAATCTCTCTTTCGAGAACTCATCTCCCTGAAAGGTGGCTCTGAAAAGTTTGTAGCTTTGCAGGGGAGGGCAGCTGTAGTCACAGAAGTTACAATCCAGTGGCAACCCAGAGTCATGGCAAAAAACATCCATCCAGTCAACAACATCCACAAAAACTGGACAAATCACATTCTCTGCAAATGCTTTGTATGATCAGTACGTACCAAACAGTCAGTTTCTTTGCAACTCAGCTATTTACTTCACTTTTGTGTCATGCTATTGCATCACAGCTCCAAAGTTCATCTGAAAGTGGCAGACTGGGTGATTTACTGGCAAAGCAACAATTATTTGGAACTAGTGGGCATAGCAATCAACAGCGGACAAGTGGATTATGCTGCATTAGCTGTTTGAAAAAATTTTGGGCCCATTTTGATGCTTTTGATGCTTTTCTGACATAATTCCTATTGCCATTCCTGTGCAATAGAGCAGGTTACAAACCTTTCAGAGCACATTGCAAGCCTATTAAGGAAGCATATGTGATACCCAAAATGTAGACTTTCAGTGGAGTATTCCTTTACATGGTTATAACACTTTACTGTACCGGGAATCTCCACCTGCAGCAGAGACAGGATCTTGAGGATGAAAATGGGGATCCAGCAAAGGGAATCAGTGATGACAATAGAGAAGAACCTTTTGGCGATGGTGACCTCTTTCTTGATGTGGTTGCTGTATTTAGTGGTCTGAGTCCCTGTTCTCTGGATGTTATAAAACATGCTTGCATAGGATAAGACAATGATGAGGAATGCCACCAAGTTCAGACCTGTAGAAAGATATATGGTTAGTTTCTGCATTGCCATATAACTGCAAAAGCTCATATTTGTACTGTGGATTTGCGATTATAACATGGGTAATGGGTAATAAATGAAGCCCTAAGGTCAGCTAAAGCTGCAGCCCAATCCTCGGTTCTTATCCTGCTGGACCTATCAGCTGCCTTTGACACAGTCAATCACATGATCCTCCTATCCAGACTCTCAGCAATGGGCATCTTGGGTAAAGCACTCCTGTGGTTCGAATCCCACCTCTCGGGGCGTTCCTACAATTTTTTATGGCAAGGACAATTATCCTCCTCCCACTGCCTCTCCACAGGGGTACCCCAAGGCTCAGTGCTAGGACCTCTTCTTTTTGCAATCTACACCAACTCACTGGACCCAATCATTTGCTCGCACGGCTTCTCTTACCACTGTTATGCAGACGATACGCAACTCTCCCTATCCTTCCCACCAGACGACCCACCGTCTTGGCGCAAATCACAGACTGTCTCTTGGACATATCTGCATGGACGAAGGCTTGCCTCCTTCAACTAGCGCCCTCTCTAATACTGAACTCTTGGTGATTCCATTCAAGCAATCTATCCACCATAATATCAAACTACAAATTGATTGAACCATAACTCCAACCAGGATGGTGAGAAACTTGGGAGTCATGATTGATGACCAGCTGTCTTTTTCAGGCCATGTTGCTGCCGTCTCTCTGCGGTGTCGCTTTGCTCTATACAACATCAGAAAAATCAGGCCCTACCTCACTTCTGGTACAGGCCATGTTATCTCTCGCCTTGACTATTGCAATGCCCTCCTAGCAGGTCTTCCAGCTTGTGCGGGGAAACTCCTACAAATGGTTCAGAACGCAGCAGTGCGTCTGGTTTTTGATTAGCCCAAAAGGACTGTGACCTCTACTGGCTACCCATGGCCTCCAGAATCAGATTCATGTCACTAATGCCTGCATACAGAGTAACTACTGGGTCTGCACCCATCTACCTAAACTCCATAATACAACCTTAAGTTCCGTCTCTGCCACTACGTTCCAACGAACGCTGCCTGGCTCTGCCATCCCTTCACACAAAGTAATCCCAGTCCCGGCTGTTCTCATCTGTGACACCACGATGGTAGAATGCGCTACCACACACCATCAGAGCAGGGGCGTCCCTCAAGAAGCTCTTGAAAACTCAACTCATCCAAGAACACTTCCTTTTATAACACCTCTAACTCCTAACATATAACATGCACTTCCTGTGCTCTTTCCCTAGGTATTTACCCCGCTTACTAGTATTTATTGCTGCTTTTACTAATATGTATTGTCAGTTGTGGATCTCGTGCTGTATTTGATGCTCTGTTGATGCTTGTATGTTGTTCCTTAAATGTAAGTCGCTTTGGATAAAAGCGTCTGTCAAATGAGTAAATGTAAATGTAAATACAAATACACTCACTAGATAATGAGACGGTGCTTTTACAAGTAGCTTTAGAGAGTAAGTGAATAACAAAAATAACAAGTAAAGATAACAAAAAAGCTCAAAGGACTGTTGTAAGAACAAATCCCCACCCAGGAAAATGACGATGGAGTAAACATGAGCCCAAAGTGTCTCTGGCTGCTCAGAGTGCAGTGGGAAGCAAACTCCATTGGTCCCGTAGAAGTTGCGAAATAGTCCCTTGAAGGCCAGTGGAAGGAAGGCAACAATAAAGCCAAACACCCATATCCCAAAAAGGATGGTGACAGTTCGTCGCCGGCCAGGTGTCAAGTACTGGAAAGGGTACACGATGCAGATGTACTTCTCCAGAGTGAGGTAAGTGAGGAGAAGGACGGATACCTCAGTGGACAGCATGGCCAAAGAGCCGATGACCTGACACTGACTGCTATCCATCCAGGCTTGAGCGTGCCGGTTGTACTCGCCGCGAAACTTCAGATCATACGCACCAATCATGAAGAGGTAGATGCCCATCAGTCCGTCTGCACCTGCAAGGAAAGACAGCTCTAATTTAACATATTCAGAAAATTTTTTGATGGTAAAGATAGGTTTTTATAATTGAACAACTTTAAAGATGCATTCAGATCAAGCACCCTATGAGCGTTTTAAACAAACTTTAGAGTGTTTATACCTTGAGCTTGGTTTCATTCAGAGACATGAGGACAATAAAGACTATCTGATAAAGCAGGCATTTTAAAAGCAGATCTCTTCCAAGGGAACAGCAATGCAATTTCTTAGAAGTGAGATTATAATCAAATCAAGTACAGAATCCATGGCCCTACATGAAAGGCTTCCTTTCTATGATATGGAGATAGATGAGGACAGCAGCCACTCAACTGCAACTCAAAACCATGTGTAACAAAGGGAACCAAAGACATTCATCCACACCTTCATGTGTTCTGAACTGTTATGATTAGTAAACTACAGTAATTAGAATATACAGCTTTGTTGTCAAGAAAGAAAGATGAAAATAAACAAACAGCATTGCATAATATTGTGAATATACTGTGTGTATCTCCAAAGATGCTTTACTCCAAGCATAAACAGACTTTGAAAAGCGGAAGGTCATATCAATGTGGCAAATGGAAGAAGAAAAAAAGGCAAATGGGGACTATATTTTATTTAGAGCTATTATCTTTTAACACAGCCTTAGTCTCAAAAGAATTTCATATATCATTCATTGAAACATGCATTAAAGGAATATACATTTAAGGAAATGTGCTTGTTTGCTGGCTTTCTTGTAGGAGTTCCATGAGAAGATTGATACCTATCTCACATCTGTCTGGTGAACAGTTAGATGGAGCCAGCAGCTGGTTAGCTTATCTTAGCATGGTAATGGGGGAAAAATAGCCTGGCTCTGTCCAAAGGTAACAAAATCTACCTACCAGCACATTTAAAGCTCATAATTTAACATGTTGTAAGCTGTTTCCAGTCTTTTTGCTAAGCTAACTGCCTGCTGGCCGTAGCTTCATATTTAATGCACAGATTTGGTAGTGGCATTTATTTTCATATCCAGTGCGCTGCAAGAAAGTGAATACCATTATTACCCAAAATGTCAAGACCTTTAAAATCGCATGAATACATTCTGATGTGAATAAATATCTTAACATGTGACTCCACATCATGCAGGAAAATGTAAAAAACCCCAAAACACATTGGATAATAGCTTTGACCTCCTGGACTCATGTTCATCAATCAAAGGCTACCAGAAAGGATTGCTTTTGGCTATTGTCCAAAGGTTAAAAGGGGGTTGTCCACAGGTAAAGTATATATGGATATTTATAGTTTAGGCAATAATTGTTTTATCTCGATTCAATTAAATGTATTGCCCCCTACATGACGACAAGTAACAATACTCGGTTTATACTGTACATCTTGTGGACAGATCTACGCTTTTGCTTTCATGCATAGAATGTTGGCTTTACATCTACACAGATATTTATGCATCTGAACCCTTTGAGTAAAAGTTCTCATACACAAAACTCTTGCCTAGAAAAAGCTGAAACAAAACAAAATGATAGTTAAAGCCCCCCTCCAGTGTATTTTGACATTTCTATATATATGTCATTTCCTTACAATTACCCACATCGTTTGCCAAATAAGAAATAGCTTAATTTTGTGCTCAAAGTTGCTAGTTGTTGACTTAAAAAACTGTCACGGCGTCACGCCTCGTTAAGTCTGAGCGTCAAACCGATAAACATCGTTGTGAGCTAGCTAACCAATTTATCATGTTATTTACTTAGAACTTACAGTAGGTACATGTCTCTGTGTCTGATGGTCGGTTTGTCTTTCTAGTTTAGTTAACGTTAGCTAAGTTAACTAAGTTGTAGTTAGCCAGGTGTAGTTTGCCAGCATAGTTATTGCAGAAAGTTAGCTAACAGAGGGCCTTTGTTTTAGTTTCCTCCTCTTGGTTTAGTGTGCTGTTCATTTTCATTATGGCATTGGTGCGTGCAGTGTTTGTAATCAGTGGTTGGACATCTTGGGTTGAAGGACAGATGACAGAAAACTGCCAGACAACTGCGTAGACCTGGAATTCTTTTTGATAAGTAGGCAAGCACAACAACCCATACATTTTATTTAACACATCTCAGACTGAACATCAGCAGAGAAGGAGCATTATAAGCTTCGTAAAGGTCGATCTTATGGCATGGTAGATAGTTGTTACATTTAGTTTGGCTCTTGTTATAATTACATTTTCTTTTTTAGAGAAAGGGAGGACCTGAATCCAGGCATTATTAAACATCTGTACTCGACTGCAGCTTCTTCCACTCTAACTGAGATGTGATGAACATCCATGAACGCAGCACGCTGGAACCAGTTACGACATTGTCCAGTTTGTGGTTAAAAATTATTAGCGGTCCAGTCGTCAGTGGTACTGGTTGGTGCCTGGTTTAATGTCATTTCAGTGCCTCCAGAAATAAAATATTGTGGAGATAAATTTCCCAGATTGTGCAAAGAATTAGAATAATTTTATAAATGGAAATGCATCACACCAACATTTGTGTTGAAGTAAATCACAGCTAATTCGGTAGAGTTAAGATTCTGTTTTGAAACTGCCATTTTGGAGATTAAGAATAAAAACACATTAACAAGACATTTTACTAATTACAAAAAATGTTACTAGCTTCATGAAGATATACTTTATTGCAGGCTTTTAGCTTGGTATAACTTATTAACATAAAGTAGTTTACATGGATATTCTATGCAAACAAAAGATAAATGCCACTTATTAGTCACACGGTGGCAGCATTGAATGTGAGCATAAAATGTGATTAATTTTATTGTCAACCTAATGAGGCTGTATAAAATGCGTAAATACTTCATTCTTCAGGACACAACACATAAAGGACTTCACAATGTGCCTGCTTAGGCCCAGCAACCTGCCTGTATGGTGTGCTTAGTAATATAGGGACACTATCTAAAGCTAAAGCTGGTGAAAATATCTTATAGCCTACATAAACAGAAATAACTCATATTCCGTTTTAATCTCTCCAGTTTACTATTTATCCTCTTAGTAAAGTTCATAACAAGTCAACTTTATATACATGGTTAAGTAATAGCTACTTCTGCCAGACACTAAAGTATACCAAACTTTACAGTGTAGTGATGTTAACACAGCATATCGTTAGTGAACACTCCAGCCGGTCAGTTTTTGGTTGTCATGGTAATTGATTATGTCCGACTATTAACAAAACCCCCATTCTCTGTTCGAGAAAGAACTTTAACCAAAAATGGCAGTTAAACCCGGCTGGAGGGGGGCTTTAAATCCCAATCCCATATGTTGTTTTCTTTTACACCTACTTTCTCTGCCCTCTGCAAATTCATCCAAACACTTTGTCAAATTGTTTTAAAGGTTTTTCTCTGAGGGACTCCACTCCTTTATCAGTCACTACTTCATGTTTAGTTCTTTGATACTATAGAAAATTCATTATTCAAACCCTCCACTTGAATTCCTTTGATATGGAAGCATGCAATATGCAAGCACACTGTACATATCATCATTAAAGACTCCCTTTATGTTTTTTATCTTAATATTCATCATGTGAAAAATTTATGGGACAGCAAAGGTGAAGCTTTGTTGTGCATAACCTGAATGATTATCAGACAACTACAAGAGCTCTAAATGCCATTCAACACACACGTTTTTGACTGTCTACCTGGATTTACATACATGCAGTGATACAGTATACTTTTTTTATGAAATTCCCGCGAGTACATCAAAGTGTTAAAGATTAAGGTTGACCTCTGGCTGACTCAACTGGGCTCAAAGTACTCTCTAATAGGAAAGAGAGGATACAAGAGACTTTGTGCCCAGTTGCATGGATACTGCGTTGATTTACCTTCTTAGAAAAAGAGAAAAGTGATAAGTGTGTGAAGAAATAACTCCTAGAAAAGGTGTTTGGAAAAAACTGCTACAGAGAGGCAGAGAATACCTGGTGTGAAATGTGTGAAACTGTGAAAATGCGTGGAAGCTGAAAATAAAAATATAGCTGGGAGCGGCAATGATCGGAATCCAAGCAAGTTGTGAAAAATTGCAACATTTGACATTTTCAGAGGAGAAGAACAGATGCAGATGACTTGAGAGATTAAAGTGATGAGAGAATTTGGACTTCAAGATAATTTCGGAAACGCAAACTTGATTTTTACAGCATCACCTTGAGATCCAAGTGTCATTATATGTTCCTGACTACTGGGTGAAATGTTTAACCCACCTGTTTTGTGTTTCCCAGGTTTAAAGTTTCAGTTACACAAACACTTTAAAAGCAGAGAAAAATAAGAAGTGTCACGGGATCCACATAAAATAGAGACCTTAAGCTGATAATACACGGAGCAGCTTTTAGAGCAATTGTGCAGGGCAATGTTGCCATCAATGGTAATGAATAAAGATTACTACCGTAATCCCCTTCCCCCACCATTCCGCCACCTGTCCCGCACTGCCGCTATCCGTTCGAAACATAGTTGGACTTGCCACTAGCAAGATTGCTCAGCTTTAGAGTGACTATGATCTGGTGTCTGGTAAGAGAAGATCCCATGCCACGCTGGTTAGAACTCAAAAAAGAGAGTGTCGAAAAGCTGAAGGCAGGTGGCGGAAAACAAATATTCAGGTTCATTCTGACGTCTAAAAAGAGAGACTTCGCATTTATAATTTAGAACTGAGAAATGCAAGGCGGTCCTTCTCTGACATCATCACCAAAAACACTAATAATGCACGTGCCCTGTTTGCTGCAATGAATTTGCCTCAATCAGACAAGCAATCAGTGCCTCCATGTCAATAACAGGATATGTCTTTTCCCTGTGTCCACTTAAACACAATTCATATAGCATGAGACAATTTGATCCTATTAACCATAATAACCTTGAGGACATAATACAACATCTGAAATCCTCCTCATGCTGCCTTGATATTCTGGCAACAGGTTATTTCAAAAATGTTTCTAAATGCATGGCCTCAGATCTACTACAAATTGTCAACATGTCTCTCCTCTCAGGTTTTTTTCCCCACAGGCCCTGAAAACGCATTTGAAAGAAAGACTTGTGGAGATATAGATGTTAACTGAATTAGCATATTCTGAAAAGGTATAGGTTGCAGTGAGGCAATGTCCCAAATCAGTGGACGTGCTGAAAAAATTTCAGCTCTCTAGTACGTACAGGTGATTTTCTTAGATTTTTTGAAGTTTGGAATGAGAAATTTACATTTATAATAAGCCATGCCCACTTTGGGCATGTTATGCATGAACTGAGTAGTGACCCCAGATCACACAAAGCGAATTTTATATGAATCCATGCAGCGAATTATGAGGTATAAACTAAACTAAAGTGTAGTGCCCCCTAGCGGAGGAATATCCCAGGACTGCTCAGCGAAGCTTGGACCGAGCATCTGAACAGACGCATCAAGTTTGGTGACAATAGCTTAAGCCAATTTTGATTTACGGGCATTTATGTAAAATTAGACGTAAATACACAAAAGTAAAAATTTATGAAAAAAAAATGGATGGACGTATCAAAATTCTTTTGATAACTTTTGACGTCCGTAGATGATTCTGCCGAAGTTTCAGGTCGATTGGCGAAACCGTCTGGGACGAGTTTGCAAAAATAGGTTTTGGACAAAAGTGATAAAATTATAATTTGACATTTTTAGAACGGAAGACCATTGGAGCAAAGATGCAGATGAATCCAGAGATTAAAATAATGAAAGAAGTTCAACTCTAAACAAAGCCGCTTTTGAGATAATTGCAAAAACGCAAAGTTGATTCTTATAGCGCCACCATGAATTCTATGAGGGCCATTTTTTTTAGCCTGAGTAGTGGGTGAAATTTGCAACCTACAAGCTCCGTTTTTGTCTGGTCTCAGCCACCACGTATTAGTGTGCTGCTGAAAACAGTCACATTTGACATTCCAGTAATAAACTTTTAAAGGTCAACGCATAAAGCAAGTGAGCCCCAAAATGAGATAATGGCTGTCATCATCTGCATGGCTTTCATTGTGGATGTAGCAGGAAAGAGAGCAGATATCACTTGTAATGTAGAATTACTGCTTTGCATATTCTGAGCTCTTTGGTTTCAGCTGCTCTGAGACTAGTATGTCCATATAGGATAGTTTATATTTGAATTATAGATGTGAAATACCAGCATAGGCATTGCTACGGACACATTACCTACATATGTTGTGTTTTCCTTCTCTATGCAGATACTAGTCAAATTAAATTCACTTTTGGGAATAATAACCATAAATCTAATGTACACCTGGTTCTATACTTGCATAGAGCCATTCAGTGACTTCATGTACATGTGAGTTCCTTTTAAATTAATTTATTTGCTTTATACTGTATTCTCTTCAACAAACTGTCATGAATCCATTTTCCTCCTGTGACTTATAATATCACCCATACTGAATGTCAATCAGAAGCTAACATGCCAATGCCAAAATGTGAAAGAAAAGGCATTCAATTTATTTTTACAAATTTACAAGACAGAGATTAAAGGCTCAGGAAACCTTTGCAGGTGTTTTGTGTTAATTAGCTGATTAGAGCTCTTCTCAGGTCGACATTTGATAAATTCTTTATTCTATAATTCTAATACATTTTGAAATACTGGAGTTTCGATTTCCATGAGCTTTGAGCTGTAATCATCATTATCATTAACACAATTCACTTCATGTGTAATGAGTCTAGAATACATGAATGTTTCACTTTTTGAATTAAATTATAAGAACAAAATTAACTTTTCTACAATATAAATGTTTTAAAGATGCACCTGTATATATTTCTAAAATATGCCAAAGAAAATTAAGGCGAAGTAGCAACTTTGTTTTGCATGTCCTGCACAGATAGCATAAATTAAGGTTACATTACAAAACTATATGTAAAGTTAGGGAAAATACTGTATATAAGTCATATAGACGTAGATATAATGTATATGTATACATTATCTAAATTATATGTATTTTATTATCTTAGATAGGTAGATGAGTTAGTGAAAGTGTTATCATTTCTTGCAGTATGAGAACATTTTAATTAAGATGGCAGATACCACATTTTGTAATGGGATTTTATTAATTTCACATTTAGTGTTATTCATGAGGGCGTCTAACAGTGTGTGCAAAATGAAATTAGTGTTGATGAAACACACTGATAAGCACATTGGGAACCAATTTCAAATTTCCTACTGAGTTTGGAGGCCTTTCTCCTTAGTAGTATTTTGCAGAATTTGTCATTTCCACTTTATTTGTATCAGGCAGAATTCCAGAGATTATTGTCAGGTCTATAAACATAACGTGGTAATTAATGTACTCCTTTGTCATATTTTTAAAGATATGTGTTATTGTGCAGTAAATACCACACCCTATATCCCCATGTGACTTACATAAATTAGATAATATTTATGTATTATATATACATAAGTAATGTACTATGATGGTAAACGATATTCTACAAATAAAAAGGTAGTTTCTACTACATTCCTCATTAAATGTAAAGTGACTTACAGCAGAGGGAGATGATGCACATGGCGTGGAGTTTGTTCTCTGAGCGGATGTACGAGCGCATGCAGATGACGAAGATGTTGCCAAAGCAGGTGGTGGCAGAGACCACCCAGACAAAGACCCTCAGCACGATGTTGGCCAGCAGGTCCTCGAAGGACGAGATGCCGTCTGTGTTGGGTTTGCAGCTGCGCACATGAGGAGCGTAGCCACAGTACTGGAATTTCTTGAAGTAGCTGTGATTATAGATCAAATAACAGTATCGAGTTAAGCAAAGCATAAGGGAGTCTATTTATTTAGAGCTGTGAACTCTTTGACAGCATTTATCTTTTTCTAAGCTGAGACAGTTGGAAAGCAGATCTCCCTGCAAACAAAGTATTTTTGTTACTCTAGAAGAAAAGCCCTTCAACAAACTCTCACAGCCCTTATCTCAATGCCATCACATGCCTAAGAAGTAGAAACGGTTGAATATCCAAACTGATTTATTTTTTTAATATAAGCCAATGAATTCATTTGAAGTAGTTTTTGCAAATTGGTTCTGCATGTATTGCACAAAACAGCATAAATTAAGTTACATTCCATAGAAATTTGCTGAAAATACTGTGTATAAATCATAAAGACATAAAGATACTATTGGTAGATGAGTCAGTGAAAGTACAATTAATTAAAAAAAATATATCAAGAGTATCAAGTTAAGCAAAAGATACGTGGAACCCTATTGTTTTTGTTCTGATTATTCTTTCTTTCTGTCTTTCTTCTTTTTCTCCGCTAAAAGTGTTTAATAAGTTTATTTGCAGCTGTGAAGTCGACACTCCTAAACGGACACAGTTAAAAAGCAGAAAGACATAAAAACAAAAATAATAACTTTATTTCAATCCATCCAGTAGTTGTGGAGACATGTCATTCACAAATGTCAACTATGGTGGCGCTGCAGGTAAAGTCAGAGAATTCTCAAAGTCAGTAGGGACCAGGATTTATTGTACAAAACTAGTGGAGGGGACAAAGTTGTGGACCAACCGACCATCAGACTACCATATTCCTAGAGCCATGCTGCTAGCAAGGCTAAAAGCTCAACAGCAAAATATGTCTTACCTGGAACATAACTAATAATTAACTTCCTTTGGTTAATCCATGTACCTTAGATGGAACTACTTACTACCAAAGAAATAGTCCCTATAAAAAAGGTTTATAACTTTACCTGGGGATTATAGAGAGTGCCAGGAACACTGTTTCTGTGAAGTATTGTTGGAAATTCCCAATTCAATGCTGTGACCACCACAAATAAATTCAAGGGAGTCTCAATGAGTTTCTATTCACCTCCACTGTATTAGTGCCAAAGCAGAAATCTCAGAGAATCTCAAAATCTGGACAAATAAAATGAAAAACTGGATGGTTGGATAGACTCAAGCTAGAAGTTGAGTCAGAAAGTATGCGCTTTGTAATCTGTGTGCCCATTTAAGATTAGATAAATTTTCTTTGAGCAAAAAAAAAAGTATCTACATCTTATTGTATGTTACTGGAACTTGAATGAAACTCTACAGTAAAGAGCCTTTAAGAGCTTCTGTGATTGTATGCCAGACTGAAAGGACATTTATATTCTCTGTTTCATCCTTTCCAGGACCTGCATGGGTGAATCTGGAGCTGTTTTACCCACAGAGAAGATGGATTACGCTAAGCCTGATTCCATCATCTCCCAGTTGGAAGCGAAGCCTGACAGTCTTGATAAGGCTAGAATGGGACTCGCTACTGGAAATACGGTCTACATGATGAAGATTAACAGTATAAACATAGACGATGACAATGGAGTACTTACATATGAGTCAAGTATTTTAGAGGTTCAAACATCCTCCGTTGTATGTTTTCTATTTCTATCCCTTCTATGCTCCTGGAAAATACAAAGACAAAGTTATAATGTCTTTATCAGATGCCACACACACAAAGATCCAACACAGTACTGGAACGTCTCCTCACCAAATTGCTTTTCAAGGACAATGAGAAACATTTATACTAGCCTTTCATACATATTTAAACTTTTGTGTGAGTTCATGTTTGTATCTCAAAGAAATAGCACATTAACTACATAATATCCAAATAACACTAAAAGACCACCATGCTGTGACCCCCCCACACAATGGGACAACTTTGAGAGAATATTGACCTACTAACTTTTCAGGGTCTTTCTTTCCATTTTCCAGGTTTATATCACATTTGTATGTTTGTTGAACTTCTGCACTTACATATGACAGGAGAGCTCTTCAAATATGTCTTAACACAAAGGAGGCCTAGTTTCTCTATGTACAACCGGCAGGTTTAGTTGCAGTCATTTAGCTTGTAGCAACGTATACTTACAATGACTTCAGTTTATGCAGCTTGTCAAAGTGGTCAACTTGGAGCTCCACGATGGGATTGTACGATATATTCCTGGAAAACGAAGATAAGAAACTCTGTAGTGACAAAAAATTTTCATTGAATTGAAATGAATCCATTTATTAATCATGTAACAGTACATTACACTTTATGCTTATGAAAAGGCACAGCGAAGCAACTTTAAATGCTACATTTCCTTTAAAACATTAGTGAAATTTCTCTGTCTCTAATTCATATTTTATGCATGTGGACTGTTGTTTTCCCATCCTGTCTTGTACTACCTATGACATCTTCTTATCTACCCACCACATGTGGTGTTTTCTGTTGGAGATGCAGTGCATAGACTGCCTACAATTTAAAGTTACAATAGTTTATTTTTATAAAATCAAAATGCCATTTTTGCTAGTATTTATGGTCTGCAATTGTCATTCAATGTATTTCCAGTAATCAGTAATTATCTCTCTACATAGTAGTTTTTATTGGTAGTGGTGGAGTCTGTGGATTCAGTTTGCCTTGCAAGGGAATTACAGATATTTAACATGTAACCCAGCCCAATTATATCTCATTGATAGAAGCCTCACAAGTTCACTCTCTTCACACCGTGTCAGAGCTCTATCAAGTTTCTGCTAATGCAAACACAACATCCTACTGCTCCTTCTCATTAAAAGTGCGTAACTGAGGAAACACAGTGTCACTTTTATTGTGAAGCAGCCACAGAAAATTCAATGCCTTTGTCATTGTGGTTAGTGCTGACTGCAATAAGTTATCAAAAATGCATCTATAAAACAAGACAATGGTGATTTTCTGCATTTTTTAGACAGTGGATGAAAAGATTTATTTATCTTTTATTTAATTTTAATCAAGGTAAATGTACTTTGCATTTAAATTTATTTTTGCAAAAATCTTACTGATGGCTCTACACCAATTCCCTGACAGCAGGAGGATAAATCATATTAACTATTCACGGAAGGAAGAGATATGCTTGCATTCAGAACTCTATATCCCAGTGTATTTGTGTAAACATAACTCACAGTTGGAGCAAATCCTCCAGTAAGACAAAGAGATTGGGAGGAATCGCTACCAGTCTGTTGTTAGATAGATCCCTGCGCACAGAGACAAATACACAAACAAGAAACAAATATTGATGTATAACACAGGGTATCTGATGGATCCATACAGATATTTTACAAATAAATTCATCCTCTCTTACACTGTACTGGTGAATTGCCTAGCATGCACACTAAAAACAACAGCTCACCAATAAATACTGTCTGGTCCGTTTATCATCCAATCATTCAGTTACTGTTTTCAGTATGTGCCAGGTTCATTTATAAGTAATTAAGGCACATGAAATGAAAGAATGACACATTTCATGGCAAATTTAACAGAAATCTAACCTTATCTAACTTTATCATGGATGAAAAAGTCAGTCATGGGGAAATTTTTGACCTGACAAAAAGGTATGAGGCCCACCAAAATAATTAAGAATCATCCTCTGGGGACCACAAATATATCTACAAACAAAAATATACACAAACACAAACAAACCACAGACCCAAATGACCATGCTCAGGCCTAACAGCTAGAGGGGCACAAAAGAAGAAATGGCTTTCATTTACAAAATTAATGTATTTGTTCAATTGAGCCTTTATTCTGAATGTGAGATTGTTAGACACATGTCCTTGTTTGGTGTCAGATGTTGCTTTCAGCTATATTTAACATTTTTACTACTCAGACAAGAAGTTACTGCGTCTTAAGGTTCATATACTTTATCAAGCATTGATTGTGAATGTTAAAACGCTGCCTTGAAGATCATTTAAAAAAAAGATTACAGAGGAAATTAGGTTATTCCAAGGGCGTCACAAACTTTTCTCTCGACAGTACATTTACTGTATTTTTCCATGCTATTTTTCTCATCTCATTCAATGTGCTGGTGTTTCTAAAGTCATCATCATCAACAAAAATAACTTACAATTCTCCAAGCTTCTGTAAGACTGAGAAAGCCTGTTCGTGTATATGACTGATCCTGTTCCGCTGTAAAACTCTGATGAAAGGCAATAAATACAAAAAAAGAATCACATTATTACTTTTTTACCTTACTATTTCCATTTAATTAATTAATTCTAGCACTGATTCCATGTATAGGCCAGTAGCTGCAAATCAAACTTTGAGAAACTAAGGCTAATTTGCTAGCCTCTCATATAAATTCTGGCAAAAGTCAAAGCAAAACTTTGCATTTGCCATAGACTAAATTATGTAAATGTATACTCACAGGACTGTCAGCATACTGCATGAGTGTAATGAGACATTTCCAATGGTTTCAATGAGATTTCCCTCCAAATCCCTGCAAGAACATGTTACGGAATATACACACACGGAGGAAATATACAGGCCCACCAACACAAACACACATAGACAGAATAAATTCATCAAAAGACATGTCACTTTTATGACAAGACAGATTTTGATTTCTTGACATCCTACTTACAGCCAGTTCAATCTCGGCATTTCCCGACAAATGTCATCCAGCCTTGTCAAAGAGTTGTTCAACAAAACCCTGTCATTGATTGAGACACAATGTAACGAGGTGTAATGCATTTTCCCTCAGTGTTCAAAGGAGGAAAACCCAATTCAGTCTAAACTAAAACAACAAAGGCTCTTAATACCAGACTATTTGATGATTTTGGAAGACATCACAGTAAAGCAAAACAGAAAAAATATCTGACTGGTGTAGCATGAAATGTAAAATAAATACTCACAGTAAAACAAGTGAGTTCAGTCCTGCAAAGGTCATGGGGGATATTTGATAGATGTTGTTATTTTCCAGGATCCTACAACAAAAAATAGGAAATGGTTTCAGCCTCATTTGCAGAATATTGATTCAGAAGAAACTGCATCAATTGAGATATGTGTGATGTATTACCTTTATGCAAGAAAAAGAAAACAAAATCTGCTATCAGTGGGAATTATTTATCACAGACTTCTCCTTTTCCTATGGTAAACCAATATTTAAAGAAAGTAAAATATCCTAATATACTATTCATGCAGCATTCTATATTCTTTCGCTGAATAACTTTATTTTAGTAGAGAATAAACATACAACCACTCCAACTTGTGCAGGTCCTGGAACACCCCCGGCATCAGGACAGATATTTTGTTATAGCTCAGATATCTAAGAGAGAGCACACGAGTTTGGAAGGTTACCTGAAGAGGATGCTCTAGGAACATGCTGAATAAACTAAAACTTGCATAGCTAAGTACTTTACAGTAGTTTCAACCAAGTATTCTACCTGCATTCCACAGTTCATACTTCCATAGTTTCACAAACTTATTCTTATATAACTTGCATCATTTTTTATGTTTGTCTATGTGTAGCACCTTATTACCAAAGAAAATTACCATGTAAAATACTAATTGGCAATAAAGCGCTTTATGATTCTGATTGTTCTTATTCTATGCTCTTCTGTGAAAGCTTTCCATAATATTTAGGAAACAAAGTTGAATCCTGAAACTTCAAATTAAAACAGCTGCAGTGTCAGTTATAACTTACATAATTAACAGTGACAAGTAACAAGCTGTAGCACTAATTTAAAGTTAAGCCAGAGACTGTTAATTTCACTAGCTGTAATCACAGCTGCCACTGGCAAATTTACTCAAAAAAAGAAATACCATTAATGTCATTTTTCTAATAAATGTTTGCTAAATTGTTCACATTCACTATAGAAACTAGGAAGGTTTACATAGAAGTTGACTATTAATATATATAGGTATAAACCTTGACAACAAGCAACTGTTATTTTATCTGAATAAAAAGAGTGTTTGATAAAAAAGTTTGTGATTATTCAAAGTGCAATAATATCCTGTTTACTACTATGTAGACCAGAAATATGGGCCTCTAAAAATAATTGCATGTTATAGAAAATATATCAAGCAATAAAAGACTTATGGCTGTTAGAGAGAACCAAGAGTGTGGATCGCATCACTTTAGTTCTTCTGGCTTCCTGCGTGTCAAATAATTGATTATAAAATCCTTCTGTTGGTTTATAAAGCACTGAATGGTTTAGGGCCAAAATTCAGTTCTGCTGCTCTGTTATGAACTGTCCAGACCTCTCAGATCATCTGGGACAGGTCAGCTCACTGTGCCTACAGTCAAAACTAAACATGGAGAAGCAACATTTAGTTTTTATGCACCACATGTCTGGAACAAACTTCTAGAAAACTTTAAGTCCGCTCTAACTCTCAGATCTTTTAAGTCAGGGCTCAAAACTATTTATTAAGTTAAATTTGGGACTACTTATTCACGTCTTTCATGGACTTCGTAATTTTTATCCTACAGTTGAAAATATTTGGTCTTATTTTAATCTTGTATTTTACTTTGTTGCATTCCTTGTGAATCCTATTTTTGTGTGTCTTTTTATACTGCCTTGTGTTTCTTTTTCATCTAATGCCTCACAGCATCAGCGTGGCATTAACAAGGATCTGCTCTGCTCTCTGAGGAAGCTCGCAGAGAATCTGAGCAGGAATCAGGAAGTTAGAGAACTAATAATAATAAGAGAACCTTATATAACCTTATTTACACCTTTAAACATACATGAATATTAAATGGTAGTTAAATTAACAATAACAAAAATATACTGAATTATGAGGAGGTCGGCATGGTAATGAAGCAGAAAATAACATTTCCATTTGCTGTTTTGGTGATCCATGTGGGCTGGACATTTGTATGTGCATGATGCAATAACTAAGTGTCAGGTTATCATAGCCATGTTCTGTGAATATGATTCAACATTACAAGTCAGAAACATGAATGAAACAGCTCAACTTCAGTAGTAAATAAATGGCAAAATTTATGTTGTGCTTTTATCCTAAGCGCTTTCAAAGGTTTTTGCACTTCGACGTGACAGGAGCAACCTGCTCAGTCTGTTCATAAAGCTGGATTAAACTGGTATGCATAAAAAATGACACAACTTACAGCCTTGTTAAATTGTACAGCCCTCTGAATGCGTCAGGACTCACATCTCGAATTCTGTTGTGCTGGAGATATCTACAAAAACAAGCACAAAACAGTTTGTAAATCATTTGAATTCTAAATGAACAATGCGAGAAAAATTAATTAAGCCGTGGTCATGTTGATTTATAGGAAAAACACACATATAATACAAAAATTTTGCTGTTGGAGTGAGAAATACAACTTTGTTTACACGAAGAACGACTAGGGATATTAGCCCAGCTGAGAGAATTACTATTTAATATCAAACAATTGTGGTCTGTTTGGCACCTGGCATCGTCTTGTAAAGCACATACTGTGAGCTCCACTGACAGCTGCGTTTTGTCTCTTTGTGTATTTCACACACCTGACAATTCATTCTGATGTTTGTTTATGCATATCTCAGGAAAGTTTTCAATCCGATCAAACCTTCAGAGCAGCAACTGAAGGCTGACACAGCCAAATGGTTCCTGGCGGAGGATAAGACCTATTTTCCTGCAGTCAGTAGCACTGTGTGAGGTTGATAAACACTGCAAGTCGGCAACGAATGAATCCGTACGCGGAACAGAACAATCACTTCTGTCCATATTCCCATAAGTCGTCTTAGGTTTACACATCAGCTTTGTAGTTGTGAAATTCATTTGTTGTATTTGTCACTCAAAGGCTAGTCATTATCTCGGTATCATGAAGGCATTATGTTTTACTAAATGAATAGTGCAAGCTCTCATGCATGCTAATAACCCTAATTTTCAGAAAATGGCTCTATTTGGTAGGACAGTAATAAATGCGGAAAAATATATATAATGTACTGTAAACATATATTTATATATATACATATATACATACATATATACACATACATATATACACATACACATACATACATACATATTTATACATATATTTATATATGTATATATATGTGTGTATATATACATGTATATATATATATATATATATATATATATATATAAAATGCAAATGATACTTCATGAGAAACTCACAGTTTCTGTAGACTCTGGTACTTAAAGAATGTGTTTGCTCTCAGTTTCTGAAGCCGGTTCATTTGTAGGGACCTGAAGGATAGGAAGAGGTTCAAAATCATCATAAAGAATGAGGTTTACAACATGAACAATACTCATCACGATTAAGTACTGCTGTATTTGAACAGCTGACCAGCTGACCACTTCAGACTGTTTTAACACGTGCGTTTAAATTTTATTGGGTTAAAATTTGTAATTAATGGAGTTTTCCGAGAATGTGATCACAAGACATGACCATCTCAAGGTTCTCTCTCTCTCTCTACATACATATATACACACACACACACACACACACATATATATATATATATATATGTGTGTGTGTGTGTGTGTGAAGAAATCGGATTTTATTTTATGGTGTATATATATATGCCATAAAATGTGTGTATATATATATGCCATAAAATAAAATAAAATGCATAAACATGGCAAACCTATTGGTCTTTTTAATTCAGTTTTGTCATCTCAAAGAGACTCCATTCATCCAGTTTATCCAGCTGTTAATTCCAAAGCTTTTAATGGATTAAAGGCCAATTAAAGACTCATCCACTCACACACTGTCATGTCAAGCACTTAGAAGTGGTCAGTTTTGGGAAGGTGTTAGATTTTCTTACTGTTAACTTTCTATGACATATAATTATGATTACAGGCATTATGATTAATTATGAGTCAAATTCCCCTATGGACAGAGGCACAATTTATTTTCATAGAAATTTCTCCATAGGGAAATTAGGTGAAAATCACAGATTCTCTACTATCCCACATTTGTAACATTTCAGAATTAATCTTTTTGTATAAAGGCCCATTGTGTGTAACCTTAAGGCCAAATGCTCAGGATTAATTTATGACTGACTTCATAAGAAGCTGATTTTTCTAAACCTGCACTGTTATATCGGCTATCATTCTTCTTCTTTTCTTTTATTGGTACACCGCTGCTCTTTAAGGTGCATTACAACCACCAACTGTGGATTTGTAGAAACTGTAGGACCGCTGTTGTTGTCTCTTTCATTTGTGGACATGGTCAGTCTTAAAGGGAGACCTAAACACCCTAAAACAACAATTTTATTTACCAGCATCTGAGGCATTTTGACTCTAGCAGAAACTGATAGGTATTAAGTAATTAACTAGTAACATTATTGCATTGTGAAACAGATGAACAGGTGTCTGGGAACTGAGTGTCAAAACTTAACCCCACTAAATATTTATTATAATTTTTCTAATTCATATAAAAACAGTAATCTAACTCATTAATTTCACTTTGGCTCATACTAAAAAATAGACACACGTGTGTTACAACCGTGACTTATTGGACCCAGTCAGGAAGTGATGGATGTGGATGTCTGCGTAATTGTTTTGAAAAGTCTCGGTTTCCACCTGTCCAGACTAAAACACAATCCTACAGTATTCTAACTTAGCAGCGTTTTCAAAAGTCTCAAATGTTTCAGGGGTTTGATAACATCAGGATAGTGTGAACGCTAGCTGTAAACGAAGCCAAAAGTTGTGTTTCAAAACAAAAACATATAAGTGTGGATGTGGCCTAAATCTTTCCAGAGGAAAATCCTCTAATGATAGACCTTTTGTGTTTACACTTCCAGTACAACAGCAGTTACAGTAACATGAATAGAAAGAGTGCCACCTAAACAAAGTAATCCTTAACAGAAAGTCTAGGAAAAAATATGTCACTTTGCTGAGAAGGCTGACTGACAAATTAACCTCAAGGTGCACAAAGAAGAAAACACCACAGCAACATAAGCTTAGAAATCAAAACCTCTTTTTGGAATGTAATTCGGGTCTTTACAGCTTATTTCACTACCTGCAAAATGAACTCTTATCTCTGTCAATGACTGAAATATCTAAACAAGACTAGACTGTAAAATCAGCATGCTAACATGCTCACAATGATAATAAGATGGTTTAGTAGGTTCAATGTTACCTTGTTCACTGTCTTAGTTTAGCATATTAGCATGTAAACATTTGCTAATATACACTAAACACAAAATGCAGTTGAGGCTGATGGGAATATCAGTTTTCTGGTGTTTGGTTATAAACCAAAGTATTAGAAAAATAAAAGCTTAGACCTGATGGTGGCGCTAGATGAAAAGTCAGGGGATCTAAGTTGTTAAAATTCACTCTGAGTGGGACACTACTATGTGGGTAAAATGTCATGCCAATTTATCAAATAGTTGTTGAGACACTCAAAGCCATAGTCAACCACTCAACCAGTATCACCAAAGTCCAGATTCATCCTCCCTTCAGTTCTTCTCCCCCAAAACTCACACACACCTATACCTCTGGTCTCTTACTGCAAACACACCGGCTTGCCCCACCTCTTTCTGTTTCTCTCTGCTGACTTTCTTCATCAGTAGTATGTTTTATTAAGTTGCCGAAAATACATAGAACTCGTCTTTTGGATTTTTCAACCTGCAATTCTATTTTCACAGCAGCAAGTGCGCCGAATGTGGAGGACACTTGTTAATAAAGCACCCTATCGACCATCTACCAAATAACATTTGCACTGGTGTGTTCACTGTTGCTTTACCTGGCCTGTGCTTTAAAAATATTCACCGTGTCCACATCTTGTAATGTAATACCAGATAGCATCTATGTTTTTCTCTGCAAAATTCTAAAATGGATTGTCAAAGCTCATCCAAGTAAAGTCTATATATGGACATTACATTTACTATGTAAATGTTCATGCCCCAAAAAGGAGAAAAACTACAGATTTTTGAGACCTCATCACTTATCCCCTGGACCACCATTAGGCCATGTGTAGGCTATTGTTATACAGCTATTTTGCCATCTACCCAGACCCATTCCACGTTGTATATGGACCACAAAAGTCTCTTGCTTTGGTCAGCTGTACTTTAAACACACAAAGAGTGACAGGCTCTTTGAACATTTCTAGGCAGTGAGGTTCAGAAGAGAGAAAAAAAGTGGGGCAGCTACAAAACATCATATAACCCAAATATGCCACAAAGAAAACGATGCTGTGCCAATGACAAGGCAGATACTTTGTAAGAGATAATAAGCCTGGTAATTGCGTTGATATTCCAGGTCACATAAAACAAACTAAATGCATGTGATAAAAAAGGGTAATGTACTGATCAAACTTCCACACACTTTGTAATAAATACAAGGTTTTAGGTCTTTGTCGAATATATGTTGAGAAGACAAAACGTATTTTGTACTTTTGTTTATTAAATCTTGAACACTTATTAAATCACTACACTTTTGACAAAAGACTCACCAGATGTGAGAAGTGAGTGATACTGGCTCTTACAAGACTTTCAAAGACATACACTACTTATCAGCTGAATGTGAAGGGGTTGCATTTGTCACTTCCACTCCATCCAGAGATTCTTCTTTAATTCTGGTTTCATGTAACTTACTGACTCATCCTGTGGCAATGACAGGTACTCGTGGTGGCAGGGTGGCGTTTTGGAGGGGGTGGGGAGGTCAACACTTCTCACATGCTCTGACAGTCACTGCCAGAGATGGAGGCTTCCTGGGGATTGCTTGAGCTTTAATATATTGCAAATAGGAGGATATCTTCTACTCACATCATGGTGACATTCATCGCCACCACTGGGATGTCTTGAAGCTGTGCTCCATCACAGTCCAGCTCCAAGTCTCGGCACTGGCAGAGCTCAGGAACGACACCTAGCACTGGAGAGATGGAAGGCAGAGGGAAGGGACATCAAAGGATGCATCAATCTGCTGAGTGTCAAGACTGAAGCTGTTTGGAAGAATGGCAACCTAGTCCTGCTGTAAGAGAATATAAATCCTAAGATTAAAGCAGCAGAGAAAAAATGAAAGCATAATGTGACTTGGAGGTGAAACACGGGTTGGCAATAGTCAATAACAGAACCAGGTCTCTCAAGATTGCTTATTGAATATTCCTGTGTCAATCCAGCTTTCATTATCTTTCATTAAATCACAGATTGGATGTGCAAGATGGGGTGAAACTGGGCAGATTGTTTAATCAAGCCTGAAAGCACATGGTAGATGACAGATCAGAATAAGCCACAAGGGGCAGTTAACAAAAGGCTCACCTTTGACAGACAAACACATTTTCATTAACAGACTAAACAGAGATAATTACACATTTGAGACAAGTCATGTTTAACTCCCATTTCAGCTAACTGAATGTTTTCAGAGTAAAAAAAGCTGATTGGCAGAGATGTTCCAAAAAAAAATTCACGGGTTTGTAATTTATTTTTTGATCGGTCAGTATTGGCTATATAAACTTTTATATATTTATTGTTGTTTGTAGTTTCAATAAGTGTCCTCCAGTAACTCATCAGTGTACTGTGATGTTGAGCAAACAGCATTGTCTTTAGTTCAATCCATGCTGAGTAATTATGGATCTCTTAGCTCTGTTACTGATGTTTCACCTTCCCCGGAGTTTTGGCTACATTTTCATTAACTTCCAACCACCACACCTAGATCCAGTACAGCAGAGAACTTCTCTCTTCCTCCTGAAACAAATTCAATGACCTCCAAGAGGACTTTAAAATGGTCAACAAGTTTCAAACTAGCGGCCTATAGGACTGCACCGACAGACCACACCGCAAGTTGAGGACTAGGAAGCGGAAGCGAAGAGATCCTACGACTCCAGACCCCTGGTAGTTGGCTTGTTATTTATGCTTTTCATCAAGTTTATTATTTAAACTATTTGTAATTATTTCGCTTCCGATTTCTGCGCTGTGCTCTTTTATTTGTTCTGCCTGACAGTTTTTCTCCCGCAGTTGTTTTGTTTTCACTGCTGTTTGTTGCTGTTTTTCAGCTGGTTGTCTCTTGTCATTTTCCTACCTATACCACCCCTCCCCGTTTTCCTGCAGGTATCTTCATTTTCGGCAATTGATGTATTTTCTGTCGTTTCCTCTTGTCACCCCCCCCCCCCCCCCCCCGCCATCCTCTTATAGTTGCTGTCCTTTCTCTGTGGTGTTTGTTTGTGTGATGTTTGTGCTCCCCACACCATTTCCGCCCCCGAGTGTTTTAAGACTTAAAACTCCAAAATCTGTCTGACAAAACACAGAATCCAGCTCCTCATACTGCATACGTGACTACTGGGCCGGACAGGGTGAAAAAAAAAAAGAGGATGAAAACCCCTTTCTCATATAATTTCTTGCAATTATTTTTTAATTATCTCTAGTGTTAATCTTGTGGCTTGTGGGAACACCAATGTCCAGAATTTTATATATATACACCGTAAAACTTTGATTAATAGCCTAGGCTTTTATTTGCTAAGATAACTGAATTGACTCTGCCTATATTTGGGACAGGCGTCCATATGTATGGGACAGGCCTTTAATTCCTCTTGCACAAAACTGCAATAGGCTACTATGAAACAGTTTATTTATTTTAAACAGAATACTACTGTTAAAAATAAAAAATGATCAAATAATATTTTATTTTGTAGGCAGCAACCTAATGAAAACAATAACACGGTGCAGGATAAGAAAAGTGTGGCAGAAGTTAGCAGACAGAGAGCACTTCACTTGGCAGTATTCATAACTTGGATTAATTTCATGAAAAGCTGTTTTGATTCTTTTGATCAGCAGACCCTTACAGAGTAAAGGAAAAATACTCAAGGAACAAACACATTCGGACTTAATGAGTGCTTCAAAGGTAACGGGAGTTGCAATTTTTTTCGCCATCTCCTGTAGCCTACCATGCTGTTCTGGAAAATCTATAAGAATTAGACTTTGGGGCTTGTTGTTTCCGTTAAATGAACTACTGAATGATTGAATTATTGTGGAGAATCTAACCGATCTAACGATGTGTAACATGTCCATACTGACATATTGCTCATATGTAGTGTTGTAGTACTCAAAACCGGTCTTGGTCTTGAGACCGCATTTGTACTTGGTCTTGCCTCGGCCTCTGACATTGAGGACTCGGGATTTTATTTCAAGACTGTAACTTTGGGAATATCAATAAATTGCATTGTCTGATTTATTAACATTATTAACGTTATTAACTTTTACTGCCAGCGTAGACAAAGGTAAGCTATATGTACGTGACGTTAGCAGACCTAGCAAGCTTACGTATTTATACTGTATTTGTATGTTATGCTATATAATGCATGTTTCAGGGCACTAATTTCAGTTGCTTGCCAGTTATTTGCCACCTAGCTAGGTGTGCACAAGCTACCTAATTTAGTTAACATATTGAGGGGAGTAGCTAATGCAATTAGTTTGTTAGAGTCTGAGGACAGGGCATGTGGTGACAACTTGTTCAATTACAGTTACAATTTTGCTTCTGATAAGCAATGATGAGACAGGCCACATACAGCTATGTAGCTAATGTGTAAGTTAAGTTACATCACTGTTAGCAACTGTCAACTGCATACAGCTCCAGACATAAAATCAATCACAAATGAATTAGCACTTAATTTTTCTATTAAGATATTTATTTTGTTGAGGAAAAGGGACTGAAAAACATATATTCCTTGATTTAACTCATGCATTTTTGATGAAAATGATTGTGTTAATTACCAATATTGAATGATGACATTTTTTATCATATCATATTGGCCATATCACCCAGCTCTGTTAAGTGGATGGTAAACATGGAAAAGGAGTGTTGAATAAAGATGCTTAAGTTGATTTCACCTCTTGGTGTTTGTATGTGGATGTTTTTATAGGAATGTGGATCTTTCAGATAAATTTGAGAAGTGCCTATTATCTCGTTCCACATTTTATTGTGTGTCATGTAATGTGGGGAACTGGTCTTGACTTGGTTTAGCCCCTAAAAGGCTTGGTCTTGTCTCCGTCTCGATAAACTCTGGTCTTGGTCTTGACTTGGTCTCGGTTTGGGTGGTCTTGACTACAACACTAATAATATGTTTAAACATTAACATTTTGTATTAATGATCTAAGCAGCTTAGAAGCAGCGAAAGCGGGCAACCTGGCAGGGTTTTATACACCCAAAGAACTTGTATAAAAACCAGACCAGGCGTTTAATCGAGGCCTGCGTTCATTTTTTCATTTGAAAAAAGAACTCTTACTGGTATCATAGTGCTCCTTCGGGCTCATTTCCTTAATAACATCTTATCATATCTCGCCAACATAGCACTTCCCATAAAACAGCTCTATTGTTAGGATTTCAGACAAGATCCTTTAATAGAAAGGACTTTTACTTTTGGGGGATGAGGTAGAGAACAAGACAAAAACAAGTCAAACTACATCTGTGTGTCTTGAGTTCTGCGTTGTGTATCTGCTAATGTGAGTACTGCTTTGCTATACTAAATCTGAATGAGTGAATGAAAATAAAATATGCATTGGCAACCCCCGTGGAAGTAAATGCTTAACTCTAGCAGTTTTACTATAATGCAGGACCACGCAATAGCTCCAACTTCAGCATAAAGACAATAATATGAAAGTTCTTGGAAATAATAATAGAAAAATGGTTGTCCATGTTTCAATGTCAATTTAAAGTCATCTGAAATGCTGCAAATTAATCTAAAAGGAACTGTACAAAAATACCAAAGAGGTAGGAAAGGTATATCAAGGTTAGGAAAATAGCAACAACTATTATTATGTACAAATCTTACAAATGGTACTGCCATAAAAATATGTCCCTGCAGTATATCCTTCAATAAATTCAAATGTGTCCAAGAGTAATTTGGCTTCTATTCATATAGATCCTTTGAGATAAATTATATCGCTAAGTGCATGCTAGGCTGATAAGAGGAGCATTAACTGCAGGTGTGCTGTTTTCTGAATTCAATCACGTTGAACGATCCTTCATTCTCTTATTCTCATTTCCTGTGTGAAGTCTATGCCTGTGCTTGTACTTCAGAAAGTGCAGGTGGAGAGTGGCAATAATCAGTGGTGATAACCGCTGTGCATTACAGCACCACATCATTTTTTAATTACCACATCAACCAAATCAACATGCCTCAAGGCTGACTATAACACTGGTGATAGATTTTTTCAGTCCTTTGGAGTAAATGGTGACCACTGTGTGTTCTAAATACGTAAAGTCTATTTTAATTAACGTATAAGCTCAGCCTTCCGCTTTTAAAAGAACAAAACCCTGGCTATCACGGTGGAATTTTGGTTAAGTTCAGACTGCAGGCCTTAATGCTCAATTATAAATTATTTCCCAGATCCGATTTTTTTTTTGACAGTTCAAATTATTACTTAAATGTGGGCCATATAGTCCAGTGTGAACTGTCCGCAGCCTGAAAGTGAACCGCATGCACAGAAGAATAACACAACGTCACACGCAGCAGCATGCTGTGGTACAGAAGTAAAAAGAGCCACAAAGGCTAGCTCTGGTTAGCTCCTACTTGCTAACCCTCTCATTTTCACGGGACACTTACGTTTTTCATTGTCCTCTCATGGGTCACATTTATCCCGGATTATGATCGGATTATAAGTGTTCACAACTTTCTGTTCTTTTTGGTACGATTCTGTACAATGCATCTGCCAGACAACCCAAATCAGGCAAATCCTACTGGGCTTTATTTTTGGAAATACAAAGGTAGGTGTACATTGATATTGTGCACATTCCGAGGATGGCATGGATTCTCAGTGAATGCAGCATAGATGTTAGCTTTCAAACAACTGTCATATTAGTGGGAGAGTCAAGATGCATGAGCGGAGAGAGGTATGTATTTAGAAGAAGATTTTTAACTTCACTGTGAGCATAAAATGTCATGGCTTAAAATGAAACCTGACAATTTGATTTACTTTGACTTGTTTGGGTTTTCATGTTTGGGACTTTGTAATTTAGTGCAGATGGCAAATTAAAAGTATAATTATGTCAACAATTAGGCCATGCATTATTCATCTTTGCATAGATAAAGTCTGACAAACTAACTGCCAACTAAATATACAGCTTTCAAATTAAAATACATTTAATGAAAGTGCCTGATAAAAAACATTAACTGATAGTAATTATACTTCATTTAACTCGAGAAGACCTGATTCAGTTAATGGAAAAACAGATACAAATGGGAGTTTTTACATGCAAAAACAAAATTGGGTATTCATCCAAACCCAATTTGCATTTTATATACGCATTGTGGTGGGTATAACGTGGTAATGCTAATTTTAAAAAAAAGGTTATCTCCAGTGGGAAGAGTTCAATTTGTAAAGTCCGTCTTAATCTTTTATCCTTTAGATACAATGATGAACATGTTATGTATGAATGTAATGCATTTTTATCACTTTTGTGTATTCAAAGTTAGTGTTTTATTATCTTTTCTGTCCCATTTAAGTTTTAGAAATTGCAGCTGAATCCTTTTATCTTCAGAAATAAGAAGAGCTTAAGTGCCTCTTTTGTGCTCTCTGTATATACTGTAAAACTTCAAATGATAGCTGAATCCCAAACAGCCGCCTACCCCGTTTACTGGCCTGGTGTGGGAACACATTTTGACAAATAAACACAGGTCTCAATTAAACGTCTGGTCTGGTTTTCATAGAAGTTGTTTGGATGTATAAAACTCTTAAACCATGCTGAGTCACCCGCTGTAGCTGCTTCTAAGCTGCTTAGATTGTTAATACAAATACTAATGTTTAAACTTATGATCAATATTTCAGTATGGACATGCTACACATCGTTAGATCGGTCAGTTCATTTAACGGAAACAACGAGCCCCAAAGTCTAATTCTTATAGATTTACCAGTGTAACCGGCATGGTAGGAAAGAGATGTTTTTTTGAGAAAAAAATGTGCCGACTCCCGTTACCTTTGAAGCACTTGTTAAGTCTGAATGTGTCTGTTCCTTGATTATTTATATTCCTTTGTGATGGTCCACCGATCAAGATCAAGATCAAGAATCAAAACAGCTTTTCATAAATATTAATCCAAGTTGTGAATCCTGTCATGTGAAGTCCATTGCTTTCTGTCTGCTAACGTCTGCCACACTTTTCTCATCCTGCACCCTGTTGTCGTTTTTGTTACGTTGCTGCCTTCAACACAAAAGTGCAAAAGACGGAGCTAGAACAAATGAATGCCGTATATTTGATAGTTATATTCTGTTTGAAATAAATAAACTGTTTCATAGTAGCCTATTTCAGTTTTGTGCAACAGAAATTAAAGGCCTGTCCGGTTTGGACGCCTGTCCCAAATAAAGGCAGAGTCAATTCAGTGATTTTAGCAAATAAAAGCCTGGGCTATTAATTAAAGTTTTACAGTATTCTCATTTTCGTTGCTCATGTTCTCTTACATTTTAATCACTGTAGATACATTTGATATGTTTCCTCTGTCTTGGTTATATAGTAGCGTATAGTAGATATATAGTAGATAAGCTGTCAGTATGCTTCATTAGAACTGCATGTTTGATGGGCGAACAGCTTCGGACACAAGTTGGAAATATTTCTTTTCTAGTATAACCTGGCACTTACTGTCTGTTGGTTTGGATTGACAGGGTTGTGATTGCCAGAACACTGGCTCTAATTGACAAACTTCTTATTACGTTAAATTTGTAGGGCCCTATTTTACACCCGGCGCAGAGCAGGGCACAGTGCAGAGCAATTGTCATTGCTACTTTCTGACTGACGCAGTTGTCATTTTCACACCCAGGGCCCACACTGTGTAAGTAGCAAATGTACTTGTGCACATCTGTGCGTCCATGAGAGTGTTGGTCTTAAAATGAGGTGCGGTCAGGCGCATTGTTGGTGCATTGCTATCTTGAAGCAGCAAAAATCCACTGTGCAAATGGCCATCAAAAACCTGGTATTTCCTGTTATTTTCTATAAAGGGCGGATTTTTCAGATTGTTAGATGCACCTGCATAGGAGCATTCTAGTGATGTGCAGATCACATTTATATTCATGAGCACCCGCATCTGTGTTCATTTACGCACGAGGCACAACAACATAACTTCATTGATTATTTCAATCTCCCGACACACCGACAGGATTGGTCAGGATGCACTGACAGCAGCCACTGTAATCATTACAGTAATTTGTTAAAGCAAACACAACACAACAAAAACTTTGAAGATAGAGACTCAATGAGTATATAATGCGGAACTGTTAACAGTGACTCCACAGAACTGTAGAGTAATATCAGGCTTCATGCTCAAAGAACTCTATGTCTCTCTCATCCACTTGAGCCCTCTCTCTCTCTGCTGTGAGTCTGCACCACACCTTTTTCATTTATTTATATGTTATTATAGTTTTTATAACTTGCCATTCATCCACCATTTAAATAGCAATTTCCATTAACAGGGAATGGAAGATGGCACTGATTGGATAAATTAATGTATGATCAAAACACAACTAAATGCACGATGTCGAGTCATGCACCATGCACTACAGATCATTTAAGTAGGGCCCTTAATCTGCAGAAGAAAAAAATGGATTTGATAAGTAGTGAAGCTGAAATTTTGGCTTTAGCTTTGCTTTCTTAACAAGCAGAAAAGAGATGCACAAAGCCCCCCTCCCGTATTGCTTTTGATGCAAAAAGTGATTGCTAGCTACTCATTCACAGTACTGAATTACTTTTATGCTGCATGACTGTACTGAACAAATACATGTTTACCCTGTTGGCTGCAGTTCTTTATGTACATTCATGTCACTAAAAAATTGTGAACACCCACATCTAGAATGATTAGTATTGAAGCATTGAAGCATTAATAAATATGGTTGGTTGCATTCTGTAACTTTTTGTAAAATATGTTTGTTGTGTTTTATTGCTTCTATTTATCCATTAAGCATAAATAGAAGCAACAGTTCCCCCCCCCCAGTTACGTTTAATAGAAAAATTCTGTAACACAGCAGTGATTCAGCAATGAACCGCTTTCTATGTGCTGCTTCAAAGGACAAGAAAAAACATGGCATTGTTATTTTCAACAGTGGCAAGAAAATGTTATATATATATGAAAACAAATTCACCAAAAATATCTTCAAGTATGCAGTTTAGAAACAGAAAACCAGTACTTACAGCATACATTGGACTTGGTCCCAGTGTTATAGCTGGGAATTCCAAAATACTTGTCAAGAAGATGGGGCCACCCATTATTATCTCCTGGGAAAGAAATGTGACAGACAAGGAGAGAGATCACCAACCATCATGTGTCCCTGAGAACATATTTTATTAAAGTGTCAAGTGTGTAATATTTCTGAGGATTTATTGACAGAAATGCAATATAAGATCCATAACTATGTTTTCAGTGGTGTATAAAGACCTTACATAATGAACCATTATGTTTTTATTACCTTAGAATGACCATTTTTATCTACATAACTGCAGGTCCCCCCTTCCGTGGAGGTTGCCCTGTTGCATCACCATGTTCTACAGTAGCCAGAAACGGACAAACAGCGCTACAGAGTGCGTTTCGTCGCCAGTGTTCTTCTTCTGCTTGCCTAATTCCGGCAGTGCAGACGCTGGTAGACGCCATAGACTGTGTATTAGAAGTGGACTTAGTCATCGTGACACCCGTTGGTTTGTGGACTGCCGTTTTGAACAAGAATATCCAGCTGCAGCCCGCAGACCTGACAGAAGTTGACAGAAGTTGAACTTCCAAATATGGTTTGTCCCAGAAGCCACCGTGCAAGAAACATGATGTTTATCTCAGCTCACGTACAGTACAGATCCTAATGCAAACTGTTTTATTCTTTAGAGGACAACAACAGAACTTTAAATACACTTCTGAGAAGTTTTTAGGTGAGATATCAACTGTGTAGATTTCAAAAATTGGCAGTTTTATGAAAATTGACAGCGAATTGAAAATGTGTTCAAACGTTTTCCGAAGCTCTGCAAGTGCTGACTATGGTGCCGACGGGTGTTATTGCTACAGTAACATTACCGGAGGCTGCACAGCACAACACAATGGTCGACATGCATACAATCAATAACTTTAGGCACACACCCTGTGATGGTTAGGTCAAGAGTAATGTACTCCGGGGGGCTGTCAGGGATAGTTAGCTAGCTAGCCCCGGTTAGCTCCCCCAGGCCCAGTCACACAAACCACTGCAGCCAACACATCAACAGCTGAACGATAGTGTTAATGTTCGTACCGCTGTTATTCTATCATTAAATTCTCAGTAATGTTGTAAAGTTTTAATCTAAATCAAGATACATCTGGCTCGTTATGTAATGTTACAGAATATTCTTGGTTCATGAAACTTAAAATATACAACAACAGTGGTATGAATTGAAACATTGCTTTATTATTATCATTAGGCTATTATAAATAAATATTTGCAGGAATTCTAGTATTAATAATCTATATTAATAATATATAATTATAGTATAGTAAATATTAACGCATAATGGACACTGATTACTATGTTGACACTTGACACCTCTTTTTTAAAGCTCTTTTTTATATTTAACGGCTATGCGTGGGCTGAGCAGCTGAGATAATCGTCATCACGTTTTGTGCGCGGTGGCTTCTGGGACAAACCGTATATAGAAGTTCAACTTCTGTCACGTTTGTCTGCAGGCTGCAGCCTGATAGGGCGCCGCCATGTTGATTATTTGCAACCAGCGGCCCCAGCCGTGACCAAATTTGTATGAGACAGTGGAGCTAACGGCCGTGTGTGGAGCTAGCTAGCTTGCTTAGCTTGGTGCATCTGTAATTCACATTAACTGTCATTTTAACAGGGCTGACAATTTTTTTTTAAAACTAAATGTACTCACCAGAGAAAGTGACCATCTAACTCCTAATAAGCTTTTTCAACGGCGCTGGTTTACATGGTCGCCATGGTAACGACTTGTCAATTATAGATAATCCCGCCCTGAAGCATACGCTGCTTTATGGTCTATTTTCCTCTAAATGGGGCCATAATTTACTAAATGAACATCATATTGTATTGAAGATACAAAACGTCACCATCTCACATGTCCTTGCAGGAGCAAGGTGGCTGTGGGCGCCGAGTCCGGCGGCCACATTTGCTTTTTTCCGGCTGCACACAGTTGGAACCACACTTTTGCTTAGTCTCGCGGCATTTTTCTTTGCAATTGCCGCAAGACCAGTCATTGATATCAGCTCACAGTAAGCTCAAGCAGGTAGATTGTGTCCGACTTGATGGTGATGTTTTTATTCCCTGCTCCTGCGGGCGCATGCACCTCACCTTAGACTATAAAGTCAGTGAAAGTCAACCACAGTCATCTCGAATGCACCTATTATTACTATACAGTCTCTGAGAAGTTATTCTGGTCTATTAGAAGTAAGAAGAGATGTGAAATTTGGACAAATGAAAGACTACACCTATTATTTAGCATGAGCCAACAGCGTGTGAATCTTCGTCATCAAAGAAGCGAAAACATGACAAAGCCAGACATGTGGGGATGCAGACAGTTTCCCAGATGGAAGGCTCTGATGCAGGACAAATGTTTTTTCAAAGCAGGGCTGAAATTGTCTGTTTTCTGCTGGACAGGTAATTAACTTAGTGTAACTTTTGCGATGCGAATGAAAGCTGTTGTTTGATAGCTTTAGCTAACGTTAGATGCTTTGCCTAAATCACCAAGAGAAGTGACGTGTTTCCCCTCTCAGTGTTGTGAAATATCTAGTTGGATTGAATTTTATTCTTCAGCGTGTTTTGGCTTTGCTGTTGACAGAAATGTACCTCTTACATTCATGAGACAATCAGCATATTAATTGGCTATAACCCCTAATTATAGCTGGAAGCTCAGATCAGCCACCTAAACTTCACATTTAACTGCCCTGGTAGAAAAGCTATGTAGTTGGATTGTAATGTCATGTAACGTTAGTTATTTGCATGGAAGTTCAGATCAGCTAGCTGATCTTTACATTTTACTGCCCTGGTGGAAAACACTTTACTGCTAACAGTGTTATGATAACAAGACCTTGTGGAGAGGAGCCTTGATCGTCACCTGCCTTTGTAAACGTCATGTATTATGTGGTTTATAATGGACTGTGGTGCAGAAACAGTGAGCTTACTTTTTCTTGTTATCTGTCAGTGGTCATACTTGCAGTTTATGAAATGGTTTTTGAGATGTGCTTTGCTTTGGTATGTTAGTCCAGATGACCCAACCCTCCCAAGACGTAACAAAAGTCATGATAACAAACAACTTATTACAGGATTATGCCACATCATGTAGCAATTCAGTTATTGATGTTGCTGTTGTTTGATTACCAATTAACAATTACATTCACAAAATCATATGGTTTTACTGAAGAATTAAGTAAATAATGATAAATGTCTTATATACAATACGTTGTATGTATATAAGACATACAGGAAAGACATTTTTAAAATTCATAGGTGGGTCCCAGACAACAAAATCTACAACTCTTGTTTTAATGTTAGGCTTTAGAGGTGGAGCTCAAGTGCAGATTCATTCCAAAACAAGTAACAAAACATTTCACACAACATCTGCTGCGCCACACCAACCTCCCTTGGCAGAAGAAAATACCTTTGGAGGCACAAAATTACGATGGAGTATTAGGGCCACATTGAGGAGAAAAAAAAGAGAGATTATGAGAATAAAGTTGTAATATTATGAGAATAAAGTAGTATTACGAGAATAAGTTGTTATGAGTTAAGGATTCTGGTCTTGTTTTGGTTCCATGTCTGGTGTTCTATTGTTTTGCCCATGTAGGCTCTTTGTTTTGTTGATCCTGTCTGGTTTTGGTTCTCTGTTTCTCTGTGTAGCCTTGTTATTTTATCTCTTGGTCTAGTTTACTTAGTATCTGTTTTGTCTCATATCTTAGATCCCTGTTTTGTGCCTTAGTTCATGTCTTAGTATTTGCTTCTAGTTCTGTGTTCTCGTTTAGATTCTTGTCTGGTATTTTGTATCATGTGTTCTGTCTGTGTTAGTTGTTATTTTGCCCCATGTCTACCTGTCAAGTGTTCCCTCTGTTCCCCCAGTTATCTGCCTGCCTGTGTCTCGTCAGCCTCATGTCTCTCACCTGTGTGTCTCCTCCTAGCTCGTTAAACCTGTGTATACATTCTTGCTTGTTTCCCTCAGTCTTTGTCCGGTCATTGTAGTGTGTAGATGCTCTGTCTCGCGTTGTATCGTTTTGCCTGCCCTGCTCGTCGTGTCACCTTGTTTCTGTGAATTTGGATTTCTGTTTGGATTACCTTGGTTTTTGGACTATGTTTATCAGCCACTGCCAGTAAGTGTGCTTGCCCTTTGTTGTTGTAAATAATCTGAACCTGCTCTGTGTCCTGCGCTTGAATTATGACAAGTGTTCACAATTTTCTGTTCTTTTCATTACGATTTCTGGCGCTGACGTATCTGCCACACAACTCCCCCCCCTCCCCATTTTTCTGTGTCCGCTCCGACACATGTAGCATGCACGTAACTCAGAAGAGAGCTCGCAGTCCGGTGGAGCAGATGATAGTAACGTAAAGGAGAAAGAGAGCCACATGTATAATAATGGCTTTTGTGGAGCTTTTACATTCACTGCTGCTCAGTCTACAGCAGAACTGTGACAACAGCTGCTCTAGAGTGATGTCAAATTCGCATCAATTCCAACCTCAGCGTTCAGACTGAGGTCACATTTCAAAAGATCTGAATCGGATTTGAACCACATATGAAAGTGGCCCAAATTTGAACTGGGAAAGATCAGATTCCATGTGACTTGGTCATAAAAAGACTCAGATCTGAGTCACATATGGGCAAAAAAACTGGATTTGGGTCACATGGCCTGCAGTCTGAACGTAGCCATTCTCTCCTGCAGTGCTGCCAGGGTGCATGCGCCAAATTTGACATCCAGACTTTTGTCAAATGAGAATATAAAAGTTGAATCTGTCACAGGGCAGCCACAGTCTCCAGATCTGTAGACCGTCAGCCTTCCGCCTGTTTTTAACCCTATGGTATGATCTCTGTCGCCACACACGACTGGTTGCATGCACATACACACATCAACACAGCATTAAGTCAGTGTGTGAGTGTGTGTGGCCGGCCAGTGTGGAAATCAATGCACAGGAGAAAGAGAGAAAGAGACAAGGCAGAGTTGAGGTGGAGAAAAGGCAGGGGGGAAAGTGCTCTTAAATGCCGTAAAATTACAGATATCTTCATGATTTTAGGGACATGGTGTTACTACTACTTTT